GATCATGTCTCTAGCACCGATAGATAGCTTGCTAATTCCAATTATTTATAAATCATTTAGCGTGGGTTAACGTGTGATCTATCGATGCTAGAGACATGATCTTACCACCATTCGACGCGTCTCGTCGAGATGAATCCAATGATATATGGCTCGACTTTATACGATCACTAGATGGCCGGCTATTCGATTTTTCGCATTTTTATAAAAAATCGGATTAAACTGAACCGAACTGCCGGTTTTTCGGTTCTAATACCCGAACCGAACCGAACCAAATTTTGAGCCGGTTTCGGATCGGTTCCCCGGTTTAGCCCGAACCGTTCAGAGCTTTAACTAGAGCTCTGAACAGGTCAGCCAAATTCAGGTAACTTGACCTGACCTGACCTAAAATTCAGGTCAGGTATGAGATTTTTGAAAAAAATTCAGGTCAGGTATGAAGATTGACCTGACTTGATTGACCTGTTGATCTGAAACTATTGATTCTACTATATAATAAAAGTGAGTTGCAGTATTGCGATTCACTTTTTTATATTGATTTTATATAATAAAAGTAAGTTGCGATATTGCGATTCACTTTTTTTATATTAATTCTATATAAAAAAAGTGAATTTCAGTATTGGGATTCACTTTTTTATATGATTTTAATATAAAAATGTTGAATCGCAATATTTTGAGAAAAAATGTTGCGAAAACGTTTTTTTCATAATATTATATTAAAAAAATGTTTTGTAACGTTTTTTTTTTTGATATTTCAATAATAATGTTGCGAAAACATTTTTTTCATAATGTTATATTAAAAAAAACGTTTTGCAATATTTTTTTTCAATATTTTAATAAAAAACATTGCAAAAACATTTTTTTTCATAATATTATATTAAAAAAAAAAGTTTTGTACCATTTTTTTTTCAATACTTTAATAAAAATAATCCTAAAATTTTTCAGATTTCAGGTCAGGTCAGGTCAAACAGACAATCTGATATAACCTGACCTGACCTGACCTGAAAAAAAATTTCAGGTCAGGTTTATCAATTAACCTTTCCTGACCTGATCCATTTGGAACTCTAGACATTACATAAGGTATAGTATTACAGTTAAATGACTTTGAGTATTTATTAACTTGAAATAATGTCAAAAAAACAAATTTGTGGTTATTATTAGTTATTACATTCTTTTATTTACTGATTTTTTCTATCATTACATGTTAAGTAACTGGAATAAGTTAATCAACATCATGGAATTTTTTGAGACACAAATCTGTGCAGATCTGCAGGTGACATTTACTACCATTTCTGCATATATTTGTGACTTTGCCAGAAAATTTTGAAGGAAAAAATCCAATAAAAACTGTGCAGATTTTCAAGAAAATAAATCAATAAATTTTACTACAATTCAGAAAATTTTATCACAAATTTACCATAATTCAAAATAAATTCACTGCAATTCAGTAAATTTATAAATATATTTTTTAAACAATTCAGATTAAAAATACTAAGCAATTCAGACTAAAATTCATACAATTCAGATATTCTGATTGGCATCAATCAGCCGCCAATTAGAACTTTACCTAAATTAATAAATTGGTTATCTTTATCATCAAATTCAGTTTAAAATTAGATGCATATTAAATGATAAAAGAATTAACAAAAAAAATAATAGTTGTTATTTTAATAGAGATTGTTTAGATCTAACTTGCATAAATAGAATCTCTAGTTGTCAAAATAACCTAATACCAAAATTATTAAAGATATAATAGAAATTAGAAATCACCAAAAGAAATAATATACCCCTAGAATGATACGGCTCTTATTCAGAATACGTTATCAAACAGAAAATCTGTATCATAACATATAGCATTATTGCATCAATTAAGATTACTATTCTACCCATCTGATATGATTAATATATATACTGATACTAATAGTTCAATGACAACCCAGTTTAATGTGAATCTAAACATCTTTACAAAAACATGAGTACAAGTTGGATGATACTAAATGATAAAGAGGAGGTAATATCGAAATATAGCAGTTTAATTACAGAATGGCCTTCATCTATACATATGGAATTAGGAGCCATTCTATCAGCTATACTTGTCTTATAAATAGGACAGAGAGTAAATATCCTTACTGACAATATATAGTATCAATTATACAAGAATAAAAGAGAAAGTTACTTAGGCATTATTTTAAAAAAATACAGGATTTAACTGTACAATATCATCAGTAAACAAATATTTGAAATTTACAAACAATTTATTACTAATTTTAAAGATTATAAAAGAAAGGAGATATGGGATCTTTGCAGTTGTCTTTGCAATAGAAAGATATGAAACTCAAAAAAAATTTCAATTTTACTTTATATACTAATTATGATTTTTTTACTGAAATAAATGCAAATTTAATATTAATTCAATTTTTAATATTTTTTGAGTTTTGTACCATTCTATTGCAAAGATCCCATATGATCTATATGGAGATGTAAAGTGTAGAATATGTCTTGAAGAAAATGAAGATGGTGATCATTTAATTTATTGTCAGCAATTTAGAGATAAATGGTTAATGGTAGCTAATAATAGTTATAATACTAGACATAAATATGACCAAATGCTTAAAGACTTACTCTTACAAAAGAAACATTTACAACTAAATCAAGAGGACACACAGCAATTAATTTTATGGAACAGGGATTTTTTATCCATGATATAACAGGTTCTAATCAAGAATTACCCATTTCTTTCATACAAGGAATTTCTTTTCAAAAAAGAGATATAGAAAACCCAAATTTATTGTTAAGTCAGAAAAAGTTACATTAACAATTATTACTTTATTTTTAGAAATATTTATTAATAAATTTTATAGAATCATTTGGCAATCACATTGTAAAATGGGAAGTTGAGAACATGCAAAAGGAATTAAGAAGCAAGACCTAAGAAAAAAAATACCAGCAAATCAACATATTGCATATGAACAGATTCCAATTTAGCAAATAGAATGGAATACATATGATTTAAAGGGAAGAAAAATTCTTAAATACAATGAACAGTGGTCAATTACTCTTAAGAAAACAAAACAATATATAAATCAGTTTATTAGAGAAAGAAATAGGGTAATTTGGAAGGTACAGTGCTCAGAAAAAAGTAACCGGTCAGCAGTAAATTATGATAATCATTGTGAAAATATCCTTCTATATAAAGTTTTTTTTTTAATAATTAACATGTCTTTTGTGTAATAAGTAAAGTTGATCATCAAATTAAATTGCGCTTACTTTAAAAATTTTATGAACTTCTGAAAAAAATTGATTGCTATATTTTATAGGGTTTTAAATAAATCAGATTTTTAATGGAAGGTATTTAGGTATAATATAACATTAAAAAATTTTGTTTTACCATGCTTCATTTTTTAAATAAAATTATTTATCAAAACTTTTGGCATATTTTTAAGAAGTTTCATTAAAATCAATGAGAAAATTAACAAGTTATATTCATTTTACTGTAATTTGCCGATTATTTGTCAATTGTCAATCATCATCAAATTAATTATCAAAATTAAACATTACTGACACATTAAATTTGGGCCAATTTTTTTTTATGAAAACTTGGGATTTTGATTATTATTTTTAGCTTTTTTTATTATAATGAGAATTCAAAAATCAATAATTTAATCTTTAATTAAAATTTATTTTATAAATAACTAATAAGTACGATCATCATTGTTAAATATGTATAACTTACAAACTGTTTTGTTTATTTTGATGATACTTTGTAATAATATATTACAAACTTTGATAAATAATTTTATTTAAAAATAAAATATAATAAAACAAAATTTTTTAATGTTATATTATATCTAAATACTTTCTATTAAAAATCTGATTTATTTAATAACCCATAAAATATAACAATCAATTTTTTTCAGAAGTTTATAAAATTTTTAGAGTACAGTTGACCTTCTATATAGTCACCCCCGTATAATCACAACATATAAAATTCCCCTTTATAAGTACATCATATTTTGGCCCAATGTACTAATAAATATATTAGAAAAACCTCCTCTATAGTCACAACATATGACTTTTTTTATAATCACACCCTTTTTTTTCAGTCCCAAGGGGTGTGACTATAAAGGGGGCTGACTGCAGATGCAATTCAATTCAATGATCAACTTTACTTATTACACAAAAGACATATTAACTATTAAAAAAAAAACTTTACATAGAAGGATATTTTCATAATGATTATTGTAATTTATTGCTGACCAGTAACTTTTTTCCAAACACTGTATATAATAATATCAAGATATACAAATACAGATATAATTCTTCTTCTTTTTATTTAGAAAGCAGTGAAAGCACATATTGAAGCTATATAATAATAATGATTTTATATAATCGCTACTATAAAAGAATATAAATAAATTTCATATTGATGATAGTAGGACACAGGAGCAATCTATAGGATGGGAATTGGTTCAGAGTTTTAATAAATTAGTTATGTATATAACAGAAATTTCTGTACTTTTATATAACTAATAAACTCATAAATTGCACTATCTTACAAAAAAAAAAAAAAAAATTAAAATTATCTGATTATAAATTATAAAATATAATAATTTTAATGTTTAATATTTTAAATATTACAATTGATTATCTTTCATATAATTATTATAATCTATTAATAAATTATATATATTTTAAAAAATGTTTATTTTATTATATTTTACTATTATTTTTCAAGTTTTAGTAATTTTCAGTAAATTTAGCATTTTTCTATTTAAATATATAAAAGTCTGTCAATTTTCAATAGATTTTAAATTTTAATAATTTTTTTTTTTTAATTAATTGTAGTTTTTAAAAATGCAATTAAAGATGTTATATAAGGATTCCACCTACTATTAAGATAGGTTACTCTAGCCTGTGGTCTAAGGTAAGATTTACATATAAAATTCTTTAAAGATCCTACTATAAAAGGAAATTTCATGTTATATTGTTATGATTTTTTTTCCTTTTTAGTTAATTAACCAATAGAATTTAAGCAATCCTAAGGTAAGGTTTCATATTTTTACCAGTAACATATCTTAGCAGTAGATGGGTCCTGTTATATATTTGAAATTCTAAAAGTTATTTATATTATTTATATGTACAAAATAATTCTAAAAGTTGTCATAATTAACAATTAGACAATTAAATATTTTTTTTATTTAAAATTTAAAATCTACAATGGATTAGCTTTCAAATAAAAAAAAAATTGAGTAATTTGTGATTTATCAGAAATTTAATAAATTTTCATGTAATATGAAAATTATCAAGCATTTTAAAGGAATCTGGTAATTTATTGTAAGCTTGTATATATAAGTAATTGCTTAACATATGAAGATGTTTATGTAAGAACAATTATTTGATAATACTTTTGCATGTCATTGCATGTGATGAAATTTATATGAGTAATTATACTTAGTAAAATGTTTTTACAATAGTTTGTTTAATATAACAAAAAATAACAAAAAAAAATAATAATTTAATAAATATAACCAAAAAAAATATATAGTAAATATATTTTTTACTTAAATTCAAAAATGGGTTTAAATAATCATTATTGACTTATTTAACAGATCCTTTTTTCCTTTTTTTATCGTTAAATTTAATTCCGGCCAACATTAATTGATCGGCATAAAATTTACCTTTTATGGAGACCCATCTTTTGCTTTTTTTTCCAAATAAGGCCGCACCAATTTGATTCTTTGTTTTTGGATTTTTTATTACATGTAATTTAGGCCGGAATTAGACAAATCTTTAAGTTTTGGCCGGAATTATCATCCAAAATTTTTGCTCACTCTTTTGGTCAGAATTTTGCCAAAATTAATGGTAATTCTGGCCATGTATTTTATTTTATGTATTATTTTTTGTCCCCCTCCCCCCCCCCTAGATTGGAACCCCCTATGTTATGTTAAACAAAGAATTGGCTTGGAGCGGCCTAATTTGTTGGAAATAGAAATCCGTTAAATCATCTGACTGAAGTAGAATTTTTAGAAGTATTACTTATCTCCTGGCTGTTCCGATTCTAAGTAAAATTTTTTAATTACCTGATTTATCCCCTGCCATTTACACAATAGTAAGTGTTTTATAGTATATCATGAGTATAATATAGTATATTTTATTGTTGAATCTTATTTTTCTTTCGCTTAGTTTTTTTTTTTATTTTAAAAGATTTTAAAAAAATAATTAAATTTTAAAAAGCTTTCGGAACTATTACTATTACACTTGAAAAATAATATTGAGATTACAAATAAATTAAAAGAAAGTTTTCTCATTTGGACAATGCAAATCTTTCCGAATTACTCAAATTTTCAAATCAGTATAATCAATAGTTAATTTTTACCGCAAAATTTCCTAGAAACGTACATATAAATTTGCTACCAACTACATTTGTAAATGGTGCCGATCAGGGGATAATATTAACTAAAAAGGATTTTACATTTAAAGCTTTTAAATAAATGTGATATATTATAATAAGATCATGTTGAATACGAATACAAGGTATTTTATTTTTATCATAAATAATAAACCATTTTTATTGATAACAATTAAGATAGTACTTATAATTGGCTATAATTAACAAGATAAGAAAAAGAGGCTAAAATGATAGAATACTTTGAGTTGTATTCCATTCTCATTTTTTTTGCTACTATGTCTCCAATTACCTTCCAAATAAATTATCCAGTAAATCCTTTCAAATATATTGGGATAATCTGATGCGCTATTATGATATTGATGTGCAATTTTGCTGTCATATGCTATCTTATTCCTATTACTGCATTTATTTTTTCTAATTATCTCTTACTATCTTGGAATTCGTCTACACATAATAAACCAATGATATTGAAACCTTTTGCCTTTGATTGTGCAATACCTGATATTCCTCGGAGTTCTTCGGAAACAGGGGATTCCTCCGCTTTATTATGTAACACATGATAAGCAACGAATAGATAGTAAAAAATGAAACACAGATCCCATCAGAACTATAGTCATCCCCTCTTTCCTTTTGTTATTTGGTATGATAAATGGATCAAGATTTGTATTTTGAAAAATGAAAATATATACTCTATCTTCATTGGAACCGATTATGTTTTACTACGATTTGTCCTCTGTAATGCAGACAAGGTACTTCGATTTTTAAAATATACTCTTGATTCTCGGTAAATACGTTTCTTTAATTTTGAACGGAATTAATATTTCATTTGTCAGTTCATTTTTAATCGAACTGATGGTAAATGAACATGTTAAATTAAAAATTTATGTTTGTAAAAAAAACGGAACGTTAAGATCCCTATATCACACGAAATCAGTGTTGATCCTAATTTTTCGATTGGATAATTAATCCTGTGTGACAACTTTAAATAATAAACTAAACGTTTATAGAATTAGAAACTGAACATGTGATGACGTTATTTATGTACAACAGTAACAACAATTCATATTTGAATTACTGTAAACCGAATCGAAAATGTATCAGTTGTCAATGCTACCTATATATTCATTACATTATTGTAGAGATGCCCGAAAATGTCCGATATGTTTTTGTTTATCAAATATTAAGAATATAAAGAGAATTCAAGAAATTATGAATTTAAGAATCGTCGATTTTTTTTTTCTAATTTTGATTTCCATTTTTATTTATTTATTGTTATTTTAAATTGGATGACAATAAAAATTATTATATAAGTATAAAAATCATCCATCAAAAAAAAAAAGTTTCAATAATGCAACTCGGAGTTTGTCAGATCAAGATCGATATGCTTTGCAGCGATTAAATTTTTTTCCGTGACAAAAAGGAAGGATGTCACGGAATTGTTTCTTTAATAAGTGTTAATCTGAGCGCCAAGGTTATACCAAAATTAGCAAAGATGAAAAAATTGTGACAACAATATTAAAAAAAACTATAAAGTAAAATCCCTATTTTGAAATAGTGTACTGCAAAAAATATCAATTGATTTTTCTATATAATGACACTATTGCGTATTTCACTAAAGCGCAGATTTCTTGGCGCAAATGGAGAACACTGCGAGAATACATTCGCAATCACCATTGTCTATAATTACCAACGTTGACGACGATATTATTTCCGAAGAACCTTACGATAACGAGTTAACTTTAACAGGCGACGAACTTTTTAGAGCTGTTCAAAAAGTTACATCAGAAAATGAGGACTACAAAAACGTATATAATGAATCAATGTTTGGTAAACCAGGACTAGAAAAATCAGCGGAGATTCCGCTTAAACCCAAAAGACTAACATGGTCTAATATAAGTAAATGTTACGGCTACCTTATGAAAAAAGCAACATGGCCAATGGCAAAGAGAGTAATAAAAGCGGCCGTAGCTTATTGGCTTGCTTATGTGATTGATCTTATCGTGCCTGTTATGCAAGCAATAGGTTCTGGTACTTTCTTGGCCATTGTTATGGTTTGCTACTTTCAACCCTCAAGAACTTTTGGCTCGCTATTTGAGGTGAGAATTAAAAAAAAATATTTGTGAAATAAAAATGATTGAATAAAATTAAGAGTAATTATTAATAAATAATAGAGTGCCGCTTGGGGAATTATAGCAGCATTTATTGCAACAGTATGGTCTTTAATTGCCATTACAATATCTAATGCATTACGTGAACCGGGCCAAATGTTTGATATCTCTGCTACAATTGTACACGTTTCTTTCTTAGCAATCGGAACATTTGTTTTATCATATGATAAAATTAAATGGCCACCCATGCGTTATGGTGCCATCAATGCTTGCATCATCATGACTTTCTCTTTGACACAATCTTACGTGCACCCTGATAATAAGTTCCAGATCATAGTATGTTTTCATTGTTCGATCACATTACATAGAAATTCTTTTTATTAAATGTTCTTCTTATTCATTATTATATAGAAATCATTGTTGATTCCAATGTTGATCGGTCCAGCATGTTCTCTTTTGGTTAACATTTTATTATGGCCAGAAAATGCTACCACAAATTATATTCCATACTTGCATGAAACATTACAAAGTTTTATGGATTTGCTTGATCAAGAAGCTCATTTTTTCCTTCGAGATACTTATAATAGAAATACTATTGCAAAACTTCATAGGACAGTACAAGATAATCTTGCAAATCTTGATAACGCGAAACGAGAGGCTCAACACGAAGTTTCTTTTTCAAAAATTGGACCTGAAGATATATTGGAAATAACTAGACTTGTTAAATCTATGCATATGACATTAGGAGGTTTAGCTTTAAGTGGTGTAATCGAAGAAGAATTAATGAAGGATGGAGAAGAGGGAACAGTAGAAATTAGGATCAACGGTGATGATACAGATCAGACATCTTTTAGTGTAGATGAACCTCTTTCACCTACAAGTACCATAGGAACTATTGGAAATGAAGAGGATTTCTCAAATCTTTTAAAAATTTTTAGACCAATTTGTACTGAACTTTCAGTAGCATGTCAATTGTGTTTAGCAGACTGTATCGCACGTGTTGATCATCTTCAACACAATTGTTGCGAACCGTGGTATTACCGATCATGGCCATTTAAACATAAACCTAGAGCAGATCATAATAAAAATGTTCTTGATGATCCTTTCGGTTACTTACAGGAGGCCATTGCAAAATTCCATGATTCTCGTGAGGAAGCTTTGGATAGTTTGTTCGGTGAAACACAGACAATAAGTCCTTCTCCACAAAGATTATTCTTGTTATTGATTCTTTTTGAGAACAGTCTTAGAGAGGTTTCTGAAAGTCTTGGCTTTTTGGTGGGAATAATCAAAGTTCTTTCGACTACGAGACAATCCAAGAAATTTTGGTTTCCTGAGATACCAATTTTGAAACGAATTAGGAATTTCGGTGAAATTGATGAAGATGGTTGGAAAATTTACGAACATAAATCTAGAGAAGAGGAGGAAGAAGAACTTGGGAATGAAGTTTTTGACCCTGATGTAACTCCTCCATCGAATTCGATTCAAAAATTCTGGTATCACTTATGGCTTATTAGAAATTGGTTCGATAGTAAATATGCAGTATTTGCTTTCAAGAACACTTTGATCGTCACTTGTCTATGTTTACCAGCATTCTTGCCTGGATCTTATAAATGGTTTGATACTTATCGTGGTCAGGTAAAGATTTTACAATAATTATTAATTATATATATATATATTTTTATTTTTACAATAAATTTAATCTTAAATATTGTTAAATATGTATTTTTCTATCGTAATAAAAAGTGGGCAGTTGTTAGCGCTGTACTTTCATTTGCACCTACAACTGGAGGTGCGGTCCTTCAATTCTTGGGTCGTCTTCTTGGTGTGGGCATGGGCGCAGTAATGGCAATAATAGCATGGGAAATGACTAAAGGAAACGTATATGGCTTAGCTTCTGTCTTGTTCATATTTTCCCTTCTCCTTTGGTTTGTTTATCTTAATTCAAAAGTATGGACTGTTGGAGGAATTATTATGTTAGTGAACTTTCCCTTGGTCCTTGCAAATGCGTATCAGGCCAGTTATGGTGTTGGTATGAATGATGACATTTACACTATAGCCGCAAAGGTTGGTTAACTTGTTTTTTACAAGATTTGAATTTAAAAATAAAGCACTTTATTAATATTATATGTTATTTTAATTTATTTATAACAGCGAACAACGGCTGTAAGTATTGGTATTACAGCAGCTTTTGTTATGAATATGATTCCCTGGCCACACACCGGGCGTGTTGAAGTTCGTCATCGACTCTCACGTACTATCACAGACATTGGGGTTCTTTACTCAATGACGGTATCTTCTCTTATTAAAGGAAATAAGAATTCCAATAACCTTATAACGACCAAAACATTCCGAAAACTTGTTGCCAGAATCAATAGATCCATAGCTATCGAACGATTACTTTTATCTCGTACAGTATATGAACCTCCATTAAGAGGCAATTATCCTATGGAAAAATATGCACGTATGATAGAGATTGTAGAGCATATGGTTAATCTTGTAAGCGGAATGGAATATACATTACATGGATTAAATGAAACTGAATGGAGGGCGGATTTAGAGGAAGCATTAGATCCATCAAAGTGTCATTATATTACACATATTTTGACTGCCTTTCATATATTATCAACAGCACTAGAAAATCGAATTCCTTTACCGCCGTATAATATTATTTCAACTGCAACAAAGAATGGACAATATGGTTTAGGCTACAGAGTTTCAAGAAGGATTAAAAAGACAGCTTCTGAATTAACAAGAGATGATTTGGAAACACCAGCTTATGCTTGTTATTGTGCTTATCTTATAAAAACAAGTCATCTTACAAATGAACTTTTTAAGTTGGTGTCAGTTGTGAAGTCTTTGGTTGGTGTTAATCGATATGTTAAAGAGTTGATTGACTTCTAAAAAAAAAAATTTTTTATATAGGTATCATATATTGTAATTGTAATTATGATTAAAATCCTTTTAGAATTAATTTGTAACATAAAACATACACATTTTTACATCATATTTTACATATATAGACTTACAATTCACATTATTAATTTAAGGATTTAATTAGTTGTATACCATTTTTGATCATTATACAATTTATAATATTTTTTTTGTTCAAATGAATTTGGTTACAATGAATTAAAAATCTGTTATTTTAAAATTCAACTAAATTTAGAGTTTTCCTTTTTTGGAAATGACTTAACCCAATAGGAAAATTATAGCTTTATTATGATTTACATTATTTTGGTTAAATAATTATTTCATCATCGGGATATATGTAATAATTGTACTATAATATGTACATAGATTACTTTATTTATGATTATAGCCTGGAAAAAAAGTCAAGGTACCATTAAATATCGAAAAGTAGTCAGTCGAGAAACCCCCTGAAAGGTTATATAATATATACTAAAAAGATCTCTTTTTTAAGTTCAAGTTGAAGTTTTGTGGGTTGTTTTTGCTTATGCGAATTGTTTTCTTTGCGCGAATTTTCTATTTTCTAAACTTCGTAATTTTGTAGTAAATTTACATAAACCAGAAAATTCCGGATATCTATAATTTTTTTTTTTCTATTTTGTTTATTTTGTTCTAAGAATGACGAAAGCTCGGGCTTATCGCTTCCAATAAAGATATTTCATTTAAAATTCAATCTTATTCTCTCCCAATTTTTTTTTTTGATAAACTTGATAAAGCACAATCTTGCGATCATAACCCAATTCATTTTTTTGAGAGATACAATGTGTTTATATTTATTTATCACTTACTGTGAAATTAAGGACAATGGGTTTGATTCTAGGTGCGATAGAATTTTCTTAAAACTACCCTATATTTTATTCGATAATTTATTTAGCTAGATGGTTCAGTTCATTAAAAACGGAAAATTGAAAAGAATAATTGACAAAATATCTGCCACGTTGATTGGTTGGTAAAAATAGAATAGGGCGTTATGCCAAGAGTTGAAAGTCCATCTCCGGGCCAAAAACAGTATATTTTGTGACAAGAATTTAAATTTATCATATTTTCGTCATCACCAAAACTACAAATGCTCGTGATCTCACAGTATTTCAATTTTTGTATAAAAATACACGAAATTAAAAATTCTTTTGTCCCCAAAAAAAAAATTAAGTATCGATTCACGGTTCTCGCCGTTATTTTAGTTTAATAAGAAAGCGCGTTATTTATTGGAATATTTTTTCTAGACTCGATTTATCGTTGGTTATTAGTCTATTCTCCTGAAATATATTCGTGTAACTATGGAGAACACGAAACAACAAAAAGAACAAACTGGTAAATATAACTTTTATTTCTATTTGGATACACGTGTAAAATATATTTATTTTAGTATTACCCTTACTATTTGTCAAAGCGGGCAAAAAGTTATTACTCGAAGTGGATCGTCAACAACCGGGATCAAAAGAAACAAAACACGAACATGATAATCATGTGAAAAGTTCTCACCATACAAGTAGTAAAATATCGGCTACTTTACAAAAAATGTTCCATACGGACAAAGGTTCTGACACTGAAAGCGAAAAATCGGAAAATACTAACATACAGCCTGGTCAAACGACTTCCAATACACGTTTTCAAAAGACGGAGGCAGGAAAGCACATTCATAACTTGTCATATAGCAAAAGAACTCACCGTATGCAAAATTTCTTTAAAGAGCTTGGTATTCATGGTCAGCCAGCAGCGGTGAATGATAAACATGTTCATTCACAATCTCTGTCTGAAAAGTATGGAAAGCCACAGGAAGTTATTGGAAAGGGTATGTAATTTATAAATTTCAACTTCTCTTCTAGATTAGGCACAAATCTTTCTTTTTCCCTTATTGTTTGTATAAATATACAGGTGCATTTGGTATCGTCCGTATTGCACACAAAATAGAACCTAGAGTGCCAGGCGAAAAGCTTTTTGCCGTCAAGGTTATTATTGCTCATTATTAAGACAATATTAACTAATAATTATTTTTATTATTAAAAAATATTTTCAGATTTTACGTGACTGGAACTAATCAATTGTTTTGAATTTTGATTAGGAGTTCAAGAGACATCATAATGAACCTTCAAAGAAATACATAAAACGTTTAACTTCCGAGTTTTGTATTTCTTCTTCGCTCCATCATATCAACGTAATTGATACGCTGGATTTGCTTCAAGATACCCAAGGAAATTACTGTGAGGTAATGGAGTATTGTTCTGGTGGTGACCTTTATTCTTTGATCGTCACTTCGGGCGGTGGATTAGAAAAAGATGAAGGAAATTGTTTCTTTGGGCAATTAATAAATGGTGTAAAATATTTGCACGATAATGGCGTTGCTCATCGGTAACTATAGTCTAATACTAATATTCATTAATATTTTTGTTACCTTAATTATTACTTATTCCAGTTGGCCCTTGTAGTGATTTGAAACCTGAGAATCTTATTCTCACTTTTAATGGATGTCTCAAGATTACCGATTTTGGTAATGCGGAATGTTTCCGCATGGCTTGGGAAACACAACCTCACCTGACACGTGGTATCTGTGGTAGTGAACCCTATATTGCACCAGAAGAATTTAAAGATGAATTGTTTGATTCAAGATCAGTTGACATTTGGGCTTGCGGAATTATTTATATGAGTATGATGACTAGCAGTCTTCTTTGGCGTGTCGCTATAGAAAAGGAAGATGCGAACTTCAAAGCCTATCTAGAAGCAAAAAAAAAGGATACATTCACCGCTCCTTTCCAATGTTTGACTGAAGTAAGCATAAATTTCAGAAAGGATTAATCGGCTTGTTATGTATATTCGTACTAACCTTATCTCTTTTAAAGGGTCAGCGGGAATTAATTTCAAAAATAATAGAACCAGATCCAAAAAAACGTATTACTATAGAACAAATTATTACAGATTCATGGTTTTCTTCAATTTACATTTGTCATCGACAAACTACATCTACCAGTGATTCATCCATCTCGAGTACGAGTTGTTCTATTAATGCAGTAAACGAACAAGCTACAGCTATCAACAAGACATCAATTGCAAATATGGTATAGCAGTATAGCAAAGGATATAGTAATAACTGAGTAAGTGTGTAATTCTTGCTTATAATTTGTTGCTTAGTTTTGATATGATATTTACTTCTTCTCATTTGCTTATTTGTAGAAATAGAGGATAGATAGTAAATTTCTTTTATGATTCTTTTGATTAGTTGATAATAATAGTTCAATGCTAAAGAAATGGCATTAAAGAAACGAAAATAAAAAATAAAAAAATAGAGTATATTAAGTATTCAGTCAGTAAATGATTAGAGGAAACGAGGGGTTTAATTTTGATATTATCATAATTCTTTCTTAGATTGTAATTGAATACACTATAATCGGATAAATTTTATTGTAAGCCATTGATAAGTTTAAAGTACATATTATATTATTAACCATATAAATTATATACTGTATATATACTTTTTCATTTTGAATATTTAAAGGAGTTGAGGAAGTTTTGAATTATATATAATATCTAAGTGAATTGAAAGTTTTTATATATATATAATTTTTTTATCAGATTACTTTTAATTGGATTACATCATTATTCATTGACTAAGAATTATTATAGTCTTAAATAAGTGTATAACCAAACATTTTTTTTATAGGGAATGGCTCGTTCGAATAAAAATGTCTTTTTTAATATATGTATACTGTCTATATCATTGGGGATTTGGAGATTGTGGTCGTATATCAGGAACCTTTAAAATCGAGAAATAACAATTTGATGATTAATAATAAGATACTCCTTTAATAAAAGATTTAAATTATGTTTACCTGCATTACTGGCGGTGGAGACGTAAATCTACCGGTGGCAAATGTTACACCTTCGATTATTGCCAAGACACAAGCACCAAAGCAAGCAGATCTCGTTGCTGCACCAATACCACCTCTAGCAGCTAAAAAACCACCGGTGAGAAAACCACTTGCGATTAAATTCCATGGATCCTCCTTTTGTCTTATTCCTTTTAATGCACAATCAAATGTTGAAAATAATCCTCCCCATACGGCAAAATTACCACCTAAAACGGGTGAACGAGCTTTTACAGCTGTAATTGCACCGATTATTCGTTCTCCCTATAATATAAAAAAATTTAAATTGAATTATAACGTAGGAATAAATTATTAATCTATAAATTAAAAGGAATATACCTTTGGTGAATTTTTCGCTCCTTTGACAAAATGCCATATACCACCACCAATAGCCCCCATTGCGAACGCGCCTCCAGTATCATTTAGTATTACCCATGGACTATAAAAAAAAAGAAAACAAAAATGAGATTTTGTAAAAATAATTCAATATTTAATTCGAGTATTTAAAAGAAGGTTATAATACCAAGGATCACGATTAAAATCATATCGTGACATTTTAATCGTTTAAAAGAAGTTAACTTTGTAAATTACACCAATTAGAGCGGAAATAATCGCAAGCGTTCCCTTTTCTTTTTCAAAAGAAGAGTTTACCTCATGTACATAGAAATGGCAAAACTTGATTTAATTTGAAGTGTGTTAAAGATAAGAAAAAAAAAAAAGAGATATCACGCCGATCAAGCCGATCAAGCGTCTAGAATATTCCAAACTTTCTAGATTTCTGCGGCATGCGGTTCGACCGTTCAAGTCATTTTCAATCGAATTTTTAACATGCATATCATTATTAGAATAAGGTTACTTATTTATTTTTTTGCTAAACATAGCACAGAATTTCTATGAATATAAACTTTTTAACCGAACGACCGATTTCTTTATACAACTGTAGATAACATCCGATTGTAAATTTCTCGTGTTCTATGTGCTAAAAATAAAAAAAAAAAATTTTTTTGAATGAGACAAAATGGAAATTCAGTAGAATGACCCGGATATTTAATGATACATTGATGTCGTAATACGGATGTTATGTTTTTTAATAAATAAATAATGAAAAAGTATGATATCATCATGATTTATTTTTCTTATAATACTATTCAAGCAAAAAAGGTATAACACAAAAAATTATAAAAAGTATTTTCATGATAAAAATATTAGTTTATTAGTTCTTACTATCTATTTAAAAAACTCGATTCTCACGAGACTGAATACAAAATAGAAGAAAGTGAAAAATAAAATGAAGTTATTAGCCATCAACTTATTATAACGAATAGTTTTTATTTTTCCTTAATATATTATAGTTAAAAACTTTTTCTATTTATCTATTGGGTTTATTCATTTTTGTTGACAATGGGATCTTTCAAAATATTAAACGACTCTTTTATTGGTGTTCTTATTATATTTTTAACTGCGTCACTAGTATCACTAATATGTGCTCAAAATATTAACAATGAGGCAGATTATGAGATGAATGTGCTGAATAATCGAATTTCCTGTTCTGTCAAGAACTTGATAAATCCGCCTCCTCTCGAAGGAATTAAAGTATGTATTTAATTATTTAATTATTCGCTTGACTTATTTTCATTCAGAGAATATTAACAATTTCAATTATCGAATATCAGGGTACATTACAATGGTGGCCAACTCCAAGTGTAAATGCAGATACTGATTTGATAGCGTTTATTCGTTGTGATGATAATAAAAATGTTATTTCTGCTGCGGATTCTGCTTCTGCTATTCTCTTATATTCAGATGCAAACCCCTGTGGTTTCCGTAGCTCATTTAACTTTACAATTCCTATATTTATTACTGATCAAAAATGTTATGATGATGTTTCTAAGGTATTAGTATTAAATAATCAAGTTGCCGTTGAAATAAAGGGGGGTATAAATTTCGAAAATGTTCCTACAAAGGACAATTCTCCCGTTAGTACAAATGGCTCTTCAGGTGAAAATAAAGTGCTTGCAACTTATCAAACTGCAATGATTGTTCTTTATGCTGTATCAGGTGTTGTTTTGGGATTATTCTTTATTGTGGTTGTCACAAATATTATAAAGAATCGACTTAATGCTCCCGCACCACAAACAAGTCAAGGACAGGATCCACGTCCACGTCGTGGAATAGCTAGATCTGTTTTGGAGAGTTTCCCTGTATTCTTCTTTACTATGGGATTGAAAGACGAAGATGATGATAAAAAAGAAAAAGATGATTTGGAAAAAGGAAAGGCTAAAGAATTAGAATCGGATATTGAATTAGAATCCTTAAGTACGGATGTTATGAAATCTGCTCCACAAGCTGAAGATGCTAAAGATTCATCAAATATTTCTACGGATAAAACCTCTAAAGCGAGTAATAACAACAATGATGATAATTCTCAAGAAAGTGATCCTGATTTACCACAAAATCCTTCGATTGCACATATTAAGGATTCATCACGTAGTCGTTCTATATCTACAACTTCAAATCCTTCAGCAACATTAACAAATAATGAAGTTCAAGATGGACAATTGACTTGTCCCATTTGTATAGATGATTTTGAATCCGGTGAAGAATTAAGACTTCTACCTTGTCAACATCGATATCATACGTATGTATATAATAAATTCTATTTTATGATAATTAAAGTATATTAATTCTCGTTTATTTGATTGATAGATTATGCATAGATCCATGGCTTCTTGATATATCTCCTTTATGTCCAATGTGCAAAACGGATTACACATCATGGGAAAGTGAAATGAATGCAACGCAACACAATCAAGATTCGTCAGTATCTTCATCTATCGAGACAACTGGAAATAATCATTACACGACACATAACGAAAATCAACGAAATGATGATGACTCATCAAGAGCTTCTTCTGTACATCACAATTTCCCACATTTCCGATGGATAAAATATCTTACAGCGATTCGTAGACGACGACGACATAGGGACAGAAGATCTAGTAGACAATCAAGAAGTGCTGAAAATAATAATAACAATAGAAATTCACAGAATAGTAATGTAGTCGGAACTGTTATAACAAGCTAATTAATTTGAAACAATTTACTCAACGATTATTTGTGTAATTGCTCTTTGTATATAATACATAACTCTATTTATTCATTTTGTGTAAAAGTAATAATACATTTTACGATAATTTATTATTACTGAGGTAGAGGAACGGGAACAGATCAGTCTATATAAATCGATAAATTGCGCTAATAATATCTCATAAGAAATTTGTAATTAGTAAAAAAAAATCGTAAAACAAAAAAAAAATTATTAAACGTGAAAAAATTAATATATATATATTTTTTATCAAGTTTTATTGTACAAAGATAGAAAGTTCTTTTGTTTTATTTGCGTATTAAATAATTTAATGAATAAAAAAGATTTCTCCGAATAAATTCTACCTTCTAATAACAATAGGAATACTAGAAGATAAACCACCATCTACTGTTAATGCATGACCATTTATATATGAACTTTCATCACTCGCTAAAAACAATGCAACATTTGCAACCTATTAAAATAAAAGGATTAGAATAATTAGTTTATAAAAAATTTAGCTAAATTTATCATAGTTCACTTTACCTCTTCAGGGACGGCATATCTTTGTAAAGGATTTAATTGTCCAACTTTATTGATAGTACCTCGCGAGCGAGCATATTCAAAAGTAGGTTGTGTCATATTAGTTTCAATTATTCCCTAAAGAAAATAATAAATAAAAGTTATGTATTTTTTTATATAAAATAAATTAAACCAATAAAACAATACTTACGGGGTTAATACAATTTACACGAATATTTGTGTTGGCTAGTCGCCAAGCACCCGCTTGAACCATGTTTATAATGCTGTTTTTATATAAAAAATAATTATTTTTAAGATAATGTGTAGGAAGAAAAAGCTATGTGACGTGTCTAGTACGCTTACGCGGCTTTTGAAGCGGAATAATCTAGAGGTCCGGCACCTGATCTTAATCCAGCAACTACATAAATAATATTTGAATTAAATTAATAAGATAACAAATTGTTTTTGTTATTGAAGAATAATAATAACCTGAAGCTGTCGCGACAATTGATCCACCAGATTCCTTTTTATCGTTTCCAGTAATTTTCATTGCTGTTGATGCATGTTTTATAGCTAGAAATACACTATTAATAAATTTAATTACTATAAAATCATTTATTAATAAATTAAATAAATGATTTAATTATAATCAAATAGGATATTTACCTAAGTACGTTTATCTAAATAAAGAATTTATTAATTATATAAGTCATTTAATATAATAAAATAGAAAATTATTATAACTTACTCTCATAACTTCCATAAATTTGGAAGTTTCTAAATTCAAACTGTCAACTGGGTAAACGATCCCTTTTGAAAACAAATTTTAAAATTAATTACTTTAAACCACTTGATAGTATTCTTTTAAATTTACTAACCTGCGTTAGCAAAAAATACATCTAGTCTACCAAATTTTTTTATGGCATCATCAATAACAGATTTAACATCATCTTCGGATGCAGCATCAACTTTACGTGGAATTACTGCAACATTTGGATATTTATTTTGTATTTCTTTAGCAAGTTGCGGAAGTAAATCTTCACGGTAATCTGTTACATATATAGCTTTAGCTCCTTATATAATTAACGACGAGAGAAAATTATCGTTATCAACAAAATTCACAATTAAATTCGCGTTAAAAAATTTATAATAACTCCCATACCATTCTTAGCAAATATCCATGCAGACGCACGTCTATATTATAAAGTTAGTGCTTAACAAACTATTAAATTTTAACAACTGAACATAATTAACTAAAATATTCTTTTTATTTACCCAATTCCTTTTTCTGAACCGGCTCCAGTAATAATGCAAACCTTACAACATAACCTAGGTTTATTTTCTTCAATTTTAGTATTATTATTCTTTTCTACTTTTCCTTCACTACTTATATGACTTGATAAAAGTAAAAGTCTATCTTTAGGAGATGACATGACTATATTTTTTTAAATTATATTTCCCTACATGGTCAACACAATGAATTAATTATATATGTTATTTGTGTGTGTCGATGAAATACCAAATAAGTATAAAATTCCCACAATCAGTCATTTAAATCACAAAACATTTATTGCTATTATAAACAGTAAAACGGTAAAACTATAATGCTGGCCAACCTTATACCGATAATAATGTAGGCCGTATAAGAAAAATTTTTCTACACGTTTTTTTAATAAAAAAGATCGATGTGGCTTTGTAATAATCTTCGGTCTTCTCTAATTAGACATTATACAAGAAATATGAGCAGCCAATTTCAAACCGTCAATACTACTAAAGCACCTAGTGCTATTGGGCCTTACTGTAAGCTAGTTCAATAGTTCAAATAATGGATAGATATAAAACGTCGAGTACTTAATTATCATAAATTTTATAAAATATTAGCTCAAGCTATTATTGCAAATGGGTTTGTTTATGCTTCAGGACAAATACCCGTTGTTCCTGAGACAGGAAACATTATAAGCGATGATGTTAAAGAACAAACGGTACTCATTTTAATAATAAGACTGTTTTATATAAATTTTGCTTTTAACATTTTTATATATTTATAGAAACAAGTTATAAAAAATTTGACGAATGTACTTGAGGCAGCAAATTCTTCATTGTCGCAGGTTGTGAAAACTACTGTATTCATTAAAGATATGAACGATTTTTCTTCAGTAAATGAAATTTACGGCGAGGTACAATTTGTTTACTGATTTTATTATTAAAAAAAAAAAATCTAATTATTTTATTTATTTATTTAGTGCTTTGGAAGTAGTCGACCAGCTAGAGCTTGTGTTGAAGTATCTCGTTTACCAAAAGATGTTAAGGTTGAAATTGATGCTGTTGCTCTTGTGAATAGTGTAAGTAGTGTATAGTAAACAAAAATATAGTATATGAATAAACAAATAATTTCCGAGTGATCTCTTTATCCATTAGTTTTTTGTAACCTCAAGCTTCTCGAAAATTTAATCTACCAATTCGATTTGGTCTTTTAGTCTGACTTTCTTTTTGATAAAATGTTCTATTTCTTTAAAAGTCTTACTTGAATGGGCCAAAAATAGTAGATCTTTCCTTTTATGGATAATTTTTGATAATTCTAGTCAGGAAATTATTTCCTTTTTAGATACTGGCTGGCATTATTATAATTCCGACCGTATTGTAAAATTTTCGAAAAATTCACAATTACATGACTTCTGACTGGAAATGCTTATTCACGTGTGCCCCGCACGTTAAAGATTTCTCACAATCTTACTATGCACCCAATCCTAAGATTATCCGGACAATTGATAGATAAAATAAAAATCACTGATCAACTTAGCCACGATCTCATTCTTTGATGAAATCTTCCAAATTTTTTAAAAATTTACAAAGCAGGCATATAAAAAATATGAGAACAAAAATTTTAGTATATTCTTCCAATATTACCTTAAATCATCATTTTTCAATTTTAAATTCAATGTTTAATACATTTTACGATGTAATTCAAATTGATTTAAATAATTTATTAAATGATCCTTGGTTTGATACTACTTCATGTTTAATTTTTTTGTCTTCAAATAATAATTTAAATTGTTTAAATAATTTAAATTATAATCAAAAAAGTGTTCAATTTGAAAAGAATTTTAAAGATTATTTAAAATTTGGTGGCAATTATTTTGGTATCGGTTTTGATGCTTGTCAATTTTTACAAAAAAATTTATCCACTCAATTTCAAAATGATATTTTTAATTATAAAAATTTGATTTTAAATGATCAAAACGATAAAATTGAATTACCTTTAAAATTAAATAGAAAATTTTTATTAAATTATTTTCCTTCCGTTCCAAATCAAATTAAAATTCCTTGTGATAATAATGCGATTGGTTATTTTGATAATTTAATTAATAATAATATTATTAATTCTGTTTCAACTTATAATAATTGTTCTACTATAATTCAATATAATATTGATAAAGGTAAAATACTTTTATGTGGGTTTGATCCTTTTTTAAACAATATTCACATTGAACAAAATCATTTTATAAGATCTTTATTCTCAATTTTTGGTTTAAATTTAGTTAAACAAAATGAAATTTTAATTCCAAAATTATCTTACACTTTACATTTAACTTCAATAAGACCTGCTTTAACCAGTATATTGTTAAATAATATAAACAATTTAATGGATTCTGATAATATTATAAGAGCATCAAATGATTCTTTTAAAATTATAGAAAATTCTAATTCTTTTCATAATAATCAAGATTTATATACGAATGTTGATTATAATAATAACATTGATATTCCAAAATCAATTGTTATTTATCATGATCAACCTCCCCCTTCTTCAATCACTCCTTTCTTTAATTTTAAAGATTTTTTGAACCATCTTTCGGAAGAAAGAAATATTAAACATGGTGGTGGTAATAATATGGAATTTGGTTCAACTGTACTTTATGGTGAAGTGGTATCGAGTACTCAGACATTATTAGATAAGTAATGTATCCATTACATGTATCTAAAAGGATAAAATATCTTTTTGTTGAAATAATTTTCTTTTTTTTCTCATGTTTTTAATAATTAGAAATTTTAAATTTACAAAAAATTTGCCCACTGGACTTGTTTTCGTAGCTACACAACAAATTCAAGGACGAGGTCGTGGTAGCAATTCTTGGATTTCACCTCCTGGATGTCTCCAATTTTCTATTATTTTAAGACATCCATCAAATTCGTCATCGCCTGTTGTCTTTATTCAATATCTCTTATCATTAGCTGTAGTTGAAGCTGTTAGAACAAAGAAAGGTTATGAGGTTTGTGTTATTATATAAAATTTAAAAGTATAAAAAATATATATTACATATAATATACATGCCATAGGATATTCCTCTTCGATTGAAATGGCCAAATGATATCTATGTGGAATCATCCTCACCTAATGATGAATCAGTTAAATCACCTAAAATTATTAAAATTGGTGGTGTAATTGTTAATTCACAATATACTCAAGATGAATTAGATGAATTCCTTTTAATTGCGGGTAAATTAGTCTTCAATAATTACAAAAAATAAAATATATATGTATACATATTCTAATAGTTTTTCTGTACACAAGGATGTGGAGTTAACGTAAGCAATTTAGCACCCACAACTGCTATCAACCATATAATATCTTTATATAATCATGCTAATAATACTCAACTAGAGGAATTTTCTCAAGAACAACTTTTAGCTGCTATCCTTGTAAAATTTGAATCATTTTACAGTGATTTTTGTAGGAATGGATATGGATTTGAACCTTTTCTTGATATTTATTATGAAAGATGGTTACATACGTTTGTATTGATTTTTCACATTCTATAATGACTGATCAATTTTGATGCTTTAATTGACTGGTTATTATAAATATATATTTTTTACAGGGATCAAGTTGTCAATTTAGAAACACATGATAATCAGAAAGCTCATATTATTGGAATTAATGAATTTGGTTACTTGAAAGCTAGTACCATAAGTGACGGTGTTAATTTGGAGGAAATAATTACTTTGGAGCCCGGTGGTAATAGTTTTGATATGATGAAAGGGATGATAACTCGTAAATTATAATATAATATTTGGGAATTCATGTAATTATTAATAGGAAAAAAGTATGAAATAATAAACTAAGTTCATTAAAATATTAAAAATATATCTATTTATATCTATATATCATCTATTATCTATCTATCTAAAATTTGTTATATGAAGAACCATCCCATTTTGTCACAGGGAATCCTGAAACTTCATTATCATTGATTTCCTGTCTTGAAGTTCCTTCTTGTTTCCTCTTTTTCAGAGAACCATCACTCATTTCAACAATTGCTGGCCGTTTTGTTGGTATAACTTTCTTCTTTTGTGATAACATCCAATCCCAAAGTTCTATTTCATCAACGAGATCATATAATACATCCTCAGTTATATATTCCATATATCGTTCAGACATTGGACGCCATTTACGAATACCAGTACTCTTCTTATGAGGATTTAATGAAGAAGAGGATGATGAAGAAGAGGATGATTGTTTAGATAATAAAGATTTTGAAACTGAAGTTTTTGACAATGAAGACATAGTCGGTTTATTAATTGCAAGATCTAATTCTGGATCCGGAGGTGGTGGATATCTAAAATGTGGTCCAAAATTTAAAGTACATGTACCACCTCGATACATGGATACAGCTGGATAATATCCGAGAGATCCATCATCCTCAGTTAAATCATCATCGTTAGTATATTTGTCAATTGTGGGTAAAAATGAATATAAATTCTCAAAAGCAATACCCTGACAAATTCCGTTTTTATAAACTATTATTTTTGACCCTGGTAAAATTGGAATTTCTGGTTGTAGATGTGTTGGCTTTTGCTCTTTTTGTTGTTGTTGCCACCAATATTTTTTCTCTTTTTTCTTTTCGGGCAATTCTAATAACTGATTCATTTGATGTGTTGGTTTAAAGTCTTTATATTCAAAAATTGTATCTCCTTTAAATAAAATTGGTATTCTATGCCTTTTCGGACTCTTTGGTTGATAGTCTGAAACCGCCTTTTTCAATTGCGGTAAACTAATATAAAGACCTATAACATCCCCCGTTTTAAATGGCTCGCCGTATTGTGTAGGACGGGATTGGTGTACCTTTTGTCCAGTTAGATCTCTAAAACCATAACTATACGCATCAGAACCAACCGGAGAATTTCTATTACCTAACGAATTGATAATAACCAGTTAAAATTAAATTAAAAATTAAGAATATTTACAAATATTACATTAAAAATTAATACCTTCTCTACGAGCCCAACCTACTCTTACATGTGCACCATCCTTTCCATCCATTTTACCTTCACCGCCACGATCAATAAAAACTTCAAAAAACCATTTCCCTTCCTTCACAGGACAATTAGCTCTAGCCATTGAAAATCCAAAATCCGTAGTGGATGTTAACTGATCACCACTTATCCATACGGATAAGCTTGCGTCTTCTTTAGAAAGTCGTAAACCATATGGAGGCAATTCAGAATTACGATATTGTATATATGGGAATAATTTATCTGCTTGACACGGTAAATATTTAAAACCATGTCGAAGATTATTTTGTTCTCCGGATTGACCAAATTCCGTAATTGATGAAGAACTTGCCTCCATTAATGCAATTACAGTATTTGAACGATTAGACTGTGCTTGGCTGTTGGAAGTTCCGGGTTGTTCTGAAGAAGAACGAAATGGTGTTAATTGGCGTTTTGAAGATGAAGGATGCGTAATTGTTGATGATGATGTCTCGTCCTGAGTTCCAGAATCGTAAATTGCACGAGTACTGTTATTCACTGCTTCTCTCTGAGCTCGTGCAGGTGTTCTCGAATGCGAAACCTAGATAAAAATTTCAAGTAAATTTATCGTAAATACTTCGTACATTCTTAAATAATTAAAGTTACCCCGAAATGGCCTGGCCTGATATTCCACAAATTTGGATCCACAAGACAAAAATTCGAACTTGCTGAACGATTATTTTCATCTTTAGCAACAAAAAGATCTTTTGTTGAATATAAGCATGACCCAAGAGTTGCCCACCTTTTAAAAAAAGAAATTAATAAAATAAAATACGTTTCAATATAAATCATTTAGTACCTACCAAGTTGCAGTTCGAGAACGTTCTGTGCACAAAGAAGACCAATTTTTATCAACGAATGGTCTTAAATGTTCATTTTTATTAAAATAATATTGGAATATGGGTAATTTCTTTGCATGTGCTGAAGAATATATAGAATCTCCTTTGTGAGCTTTAGATTCTGTCATATGTTGCTGAAGCATTAAGTTTGCTATAGCACAACCACCAATTTCTTTCCATCCTGCTTGAATTCGCTTTTTAATTAAAACATATAATAATATACATATAATAGCTTATAAGAATATAATGAGACTAAAAGAAGTAAAGTACAATTTACCTTAAAACTCTCGCTGGAAGAATTATTACACCATTTACAAGTAAATTTATAATTGGTGAAAATTGGGATATTGGTATCAATTGAAATTTTAGTACATTTTGCGTGAAACCAATTCAAACAACCTATAAAAAGAAACAAATCAAAGGTTGTTCAAAAGAATTAGCTATTAATCAAAATAAAATACTAAGTTACTAACCTGAACATTGGAGAGATACTTCTGTCAAGTTCCTATCTTTACCACAGTAACAGTACATGTGCTCCTCATTGAGAGTATGCAAGTTGTTCCAAGTAAGGCTACCTGGGTCATATTGAGTATCCATGCAAAAATTTATTCGAGTAAGAAATGTCAACGAAAATAAGTTTTGATAATCACGAAATCACATGATCATTTTATATACTTTGTTGATTTTTTATATCACATCATTTGCACATGATGCCAGCGAAATGATAATATTTTATCATGTGATTTAAACGTAACGTTTATTCTACAAAAGGGTAGTCATAAAACAGCTGATTTGCTGATTAAAGATTGCAGATCTGCAAAAATTTTTTTTTTTTTAAATCTCTCTATCCATTTGTCATCCTGTAACGTTTTCTTTTTATTGGATAAAGAAAGAGAAATTACACATGGCGGATAAACAAGCAAAGGAAAAAAAACCAAAGTCTGGTATTGTTGTTGGTTTAAATAAAGGTCACAAAGTATCCGCTCGTGAGGCAAGACCAAAGCCTTCTCGAAGAAAAGGAGTAAGTTACTATTAGATCAATACATATTTTTGTTCTTTATGTTAAAGAAGTTCGTGTTTTAGTCGAATAAATAGACAATGAAAACAAAGATTCTAATTAAATAATTATTATATTATGTTCTTAAACTTCTTAATAAATTTATTAATTCAAATTTTTCCAATAGGTCCTTTCTCATCGAGTCAAGTTTGTTCGTGAGCTAATCCGCGAAGTTGCTGGATATGCACCTTATGAGAAACGTGTAATGGAATTGTTAAAGAATTCCAAAGATAAGCGTGCAAGAAAATTAGCAAAGAAGAGAGTAAGGAATCATTTATTTTGAATTTTATTTTTTATTTTTTATCTTTATTTTGCCAATAACTTACAATTTATTATTATGTAATTAGCTTGGTACCTTTGTTAGAGCAAAGAGAAAAGTTGAAGAACTTAGCAACATCATTGCTGAATCACGTCGTGCTCATTAAATTTGAAAAAAAAACAATAATGTAGATAATTATCTTTTTGGATAATTGATATTATAAAATGAATATAATATATTATTTGCTCATTGAAATAAAATAAAATATCAAAATTTTAATTTTTCACTGCCTATGAAATATGATGTGTATTATTAAATATATGAATAATATGAATAATATGAATAATGTAATTAATATTAACCAATATGATTTTGTAATTGTATACATATATATATAAAAAATTAATTAAAATAATATCTAAATTACAAATATGAATGTCTATTAAAAAACACTTATTCTTCAATAGTGATTTTTTATACTATTAATAAAATACTCGGGATATTCTTTTGGAATTGGAGGAGAAAGTATTTTTGGTTGACTTTGTTCAGGTTCAAAATACCAAGTTTGTTTACGACCATCTTCGTCTTTAATTTGATGTAATAAAATTTGACAGATATCATGTTTCGATCTATAAAAATGACCATGTAAATGTATCACGTATCCTTTATGAGCAGTAGGTGAAATAAATCCACCTGGTAGGAAAGTCCATTGTTGATTTGATGCTTCTGTTAATGGTTTACGATCCCATTGACATAAATGCGTTCTGTGAAACGTTCGAATATAACCTTTTTCGATATCCAATACTTTTCCGGAGGCTTTATTAACGATGTACCCATTATCATATTTCCAAAGCTAAATAATATAAAGTTTATTAGAAAAAAAAAAATACTTTTAAATTTTTTTAATAAATAAATATATTTCTAATTTACCTGACTATCCGCATCAAAACCAAATCTTTGTTTACTAGTAACAATTCTTGCACCAGAATTTACGGAAAGACAATGTGGTTCAAGTACATGATTATTCGTTTGAGACTTTATATAAAACCATCCTTCCGGAAAACCGTTCATTTTTTTTTTCAAAAAAAAAATAGAAGTGAGAATAAAGTTGTTATTAAATGCCTTTATGATATATATATATAGAAATAAAATTATGTACGATGTGATTTTGTGGTACAGAAATAAACAATTAATATATTACATTACCAAATAAAGAAGAAGTCTAGAAATTTCTAAAATTAAAACTTTTCCGAAAATGCAAATTTCCCACATATTTACATTACTGAATCATGATGAAATCACATATATTTAAGGAAATTGCCAAGGAACGTCATTTATTTACCAAGAAAATATAATAATATGACCAAAATTGCTTATTTACGCCATTTTGTAATCAATGCCTAGATCATCAAACATGCCAACTGTACGTCAGAGTCCATGTGTATTATATACGTTATTCCCCCCCATAATAATAAATTAATGCGCAATATCAGTTTATGCTAAAAGTTATATAAATAAAAAATATGTATTATAATGATTTTTTTATACTGTTATGTATCTAATTATCCCCAAAATCCAAAAAAAAGCAATAAAAATAATAAATAATAATATAAATTCAATTCAACCAGCGCCTAAAAATTTTTTCATATTGTTATTATAAATATCTTAAAAAAAAAAAGGAAAGACCAAAATGCACTTCCTATAATACAATCTACTATCTGCAATATCCTATATTTCGAATATTCGATATTGTTTTAGTTCATTATTCTATTTGTCATTGATTAAATGACATTATATTGTACATTCATAATAAAAAGAATGATTATTTTTTTTTTTTTTTTTTTTTGCAAATCATGCATAAAAATGCGCTCTTCTTTTTTGACCTTTCTTTCTCCAAAGAAATTGATTAGCTCGAAAATTTGTGTGCATGTGGTTTTTTTAAAAAAAGGAGAATATACATGATTTTTATATAAAGATTTCTAATATATATAACAAACACCAACCTGTTATTTGACGAAATCAATTAATACTTCCAATTAGGATCAACTTTAACATCGTTAGCTTTTGTTGTTGACTTGTAATAACCACTATGTCGACGTTCAAGATTCTCGTTCTTTTCAGATTTTCTATTTTCTCGCTTAACACTTTTATCTCCACTAGTATCACTTCTACTTAAAGGTTTACTGGTCCCATTAATTTCAGTTGACCTAGACCCTGTTGACTTCATTGCTGAACTTGAATCTTGCAACCATGGATTGTTCAATGATTGTCTTGCCAATGCTCTTTTATCCGGATTTAAATCTAACATCGGTAGTAGAAATGAGCTCATAAAGTCCGCTTCAGTGCGTGAGAGTGCATATTTGTCATGTAAAACATCAGCAAGTTTCCAAGGTCGAAGCTTGGTAATATTTCTTAGGTCCCCTTTGAAATGTATAATGATGAATTACGTATTAATTAAATATTCAAAAAAAAAAAAAAAGGAAATAATAAATCGGGTCATACCTTTACGATTAAATATCTCGTTCGAATATTTCCCGCTCAAAGCCAAACTTTTGGGGAAATTACCCAAAAGCTCCGTAATTTGAGCTATATGGTCTATAAATAAATGTATTAAAGGTAAATACAAATTTGGTAAGTATAGATTGAGTAATCGAACTCTTACCATCGTCTTTAGTATAATTTTTTCCTGTCTGTGGATCAAACAAGTAATCACCCGTGTAAAGCTCAAAAACCTAATTTTAATTTAAATAAATAATTTTTTATTTTTAATTTTATACTAAAATTAAATTTACATATGTAACATAATACATACCATACATGCCATGCTCCAAATGTCTGCACTATTCCCCCATCGACTACCGAGAATAACTTCTGGGCTTCTGTATTGCCTTGTTTGGATATCATTCGTGAAATGATGATCCACCCAGCATGCATTGCCTAGATCAGCAATTTTGACAGTAATCGAATCTGGAGTAGTCCATTTTGTAGTAGACGTCTTTCGTGTTAGACTCGTTTGAGAACTAGTAGCAGATACTATGGATGATGAATTTGGAGTAGATGAATCAACAAGAGAAATATCGTTAAGGTCGCGTTCCAAAGTTTCACTAATAAATAAATAAATAAATAAATAAAAATAAAAATAATTCAATCAGAGATATTTATTTAGGAGGATATCTCACTATTTAATTTTATCAACTTACGTCGTTACATCACCTGAACTACAAATATTTTCGGCCATATCGGCATCTTCCTTTTCTTCATTCTTTTTTACCACCTCTAAACTCTCATTGTATATATCCTCCCCAATTCCATTTGTCATATGTTCACCATTTTCTCTAGCAGCTTTTTTCTTCAGCTTTTGCTTTAATTTTTTTTTCTGACTTTTAGACATACCTTGTATTTGCTGTGAAGATTGTTGCGATGCTATTGACGAATTTTGTACAGATGGTGATTTAGATGACGGTGATGAAAGAGGTTGACTTCCAGTAATACGTAATTGTTGTCCTTTTTTAGCTGTCGTAGCCGGTGGCTTTCCACCACATAAAAGTTCATTTCTTACAACCTTCTCCACATTATCAACGCATACCAACACATTCTCCGGCTTTAAATCAGTGTGGATGATTCCGCATTCTCTATGCATATAATCAAGGCCCATAAGCACTTGCTTTGTAATTTGTTTAACCAAGTGTGGTGGAATTCCGCGATGATTATATCTTTTTATTAAGCTCAATAAATTTTCGCCTAAAACTTCAAAAACCATACACACATGAGTTCCATGGGGTCCTCTATGTTGAAAGTGATCTAAAAGTTCGACAACATGACGTCGACCGGGAGCATCGGGATTTGCAGTAACAATCTTTTGTAATAATTTAATTTCGTCTAAAGCCGTTTCAGTATAATGGGGAGCAGATTTGACAATTTTAAGAGCGACATGTCGATTTTGACTTCAATCATTGTTAAAACAGTTGATTAATTAAAATTAATTAAATTCATTAGTTCGACAATAAATGATTAAAATAATCTTACCGATTTTCTCTTGCAAGCCAAACAGTGGAAAAATGACCCCAGCCTAACTTCCGAACGACTGTATACCTTCCATCATTGAACGTATCCCCAATTTTTACAGGATGATAACCTCCTTTACAGTAATCCTCAAGGTCTTCCTCATCTTCGGTCATAATTTTTTCCGGTTCCTCTTCACTTGCAGAACTACTTGCGGAAGAAGCCGAATAGTCTTCATTAGTTGTTTGACGTTGATGAGAGGTAACCGATTGAGGATAGCTAAGATAGTTTTAGTAATATTAAGTTAATGTTCGAATGCTACTGTATATTTTGAATTTAGACCAAAACTGGAATATTTTTTTTTTTAAAAAAAAATTAAAAAAAAGAAAAAATGATAACTAAAATTGAACATACATTTTATTTGAATTATAAGCAGTTGGAGACAGTACTGGTGACAACGGTGAAGTAAGGCCAGATCTAGTTGGTGTGCTTGGCATATCATTAGTTGAAACTTTTACACCGGGATCAGTACGCCTTCGTCTCTTCTTTTGTGCAGTAATTTGCTTGGCTTTCAAAGTGGCAACTTGTCTTCGTTTATCAGACATTTGAACATGCACCAATGCCAAATACAGAAAGTTACGAAAGAGGTTGTTCTCTCGATTCGGAAAGGATTTTTGGCAATAGACAGTTACAAGATAGGTGATATAACATTCTCTCTCAATTTCACTGATTGTGATATTAAGATTGTGATATTAAAATGTAAAGCTGAAGCCACATTTTAATCACTATTATTTATAATGTCAAATGTTAATTGGCTCCATTAGTTTCACGTGATGATAAATGTTAACATAAATCCGATGAATTGAAAAAAAAAAAATACCAGTTGATTACAATGTAAGTAACAGATCTTTTTACATTTAATTACTGTAGATAATCAATAAATTTGTTTTCATTTATGACAAAATAGGAATGTAACAAAATCAAGCTGGGCTGATGAAGTTGGTGAAGAATTTGGTAAGTAACTTGTTCAAAAGCTAAAAAAATTGATCTATTCGAGAAATCACCAAGTTATATTCTTTTTTTTTTTATAGATCTTCCATTTGAAACTTATACTGACGAAAATGGAGTCAAAACAATAATTGAATACAAAACAAATGATGATGGGAAAAAAGTAAAAGTATGTTCTTTCAAAATATAGTCACAAACAAAAAATGTCGAACATAATTATTAATCATCTATGTATTATCAGGTTACTAGAAAAATCAAGAAAACCTTGATTACAGAACGCGTCAATAAGGTTGCTGCTGAGAGAAAGGTATGCTACTTATAAACTTTTGAAAGGTAAATATATGATCTCATGATTTGTCTTAATTCTATTTAGAAATGGGCTAAATTTGGTGACGAACGAGGAAAGAAAGCTGGCCCTGATCTTAGTACAACAAGCATTGACCAACAAATCTTTTTAAAATTATCAACTACTGGCAAAGTATGTGAAGTAATATTTAATTCATTTGGTTTCTAACAATCTATAACTTATTTATCAATTATATTTATATAGCACGCTGAATCAATTGAAGAAAGCGATTTAAATAAGAAAAAAGCAGCTTTGATAGGGAAAAAAATTCTTTGTCGTATTTGTAAGGGTGATCATTTTACAACTAAATGTCCTTATAAGGATACTCTTCAACCTTTGGATGAACTAAATAAAGACTTAGAAGCCACTAAGGAAGCTGGTAAGTTTGATGATTGGGCTTGATTAGTTTTAGGTTTAATCTAAATTTTAAAATTTAAATTATTAGCTCCAGTTAATGAGCCAGTAGCTCCCGAAAATTCTGCGGGAGGAAAGTATATTCCCCCCAGTATGCGTGCTGGAGCTAAGTCGACAACCGGTGACTCATATAAAGAACGACGAGGTAAGATTTTTAAATTGATCAATAAAATTTATAATTTCTTTTTGCCTAATTTGAATCTTTCCTTTTTTAGACGATGCCACAATTCGTGTTACAAATTTGTCTGGGGACACTACTGAAGGTGATATACATGACCTTTTCCGTCGCTTTGGTGGTATTTCTCGTGTTTATCTAGCTCGCGATCGGGAGACGAATATTTGTAAAGGGTTTGCATTTGTAAGTTTTGTACTACGTGATGATGCTGCTAAAGCATTACAGGCCATTAACGGTTACGGTTATGATAACTTGATTTTACGAGTAGAATGGGCCAAGTAATATTTTTTTTTTTTTTTTTTTTTTTTTTTCCATTTATATTATAATTAAATTTTGTTTTTTATAGATCTTCTACTTCCTGACTTTCTATTTCCTTTATTCTCACTTATTTCGTCATCCAGTTGTGGATTATACGTAAAGCTTTACCTAATAAAAATTATTTTAATGTATTTTAATTTATCAATTTAATATATAAAATATCGTAGTTATTTAATGAGGTCAATTCATTTTCGGTGTAACCATTTTTTGTATTATATTACAATTTAAATTGCAAAAATTGCAAGAAAATAAGAACAAATTATAGCTATCACACTCAGTTCGATACAAGTGTAAAAAGAAACCTACTAATTAAAAATAAAAATTGTTCATTTTAATTTTTAATTTATTTATCAATTTTTTTCCCTTTACTTTCACGAAAACTTTCAATTCTCGCGTCTTCCAGTAAGAAATTATACCAATAAGCAATTAAATAGATAGTGCTAGCATGCCAAAGTGCATGAGCATCTAAAATTCCCCACCATGGAGGAAAATCAAAAATCTCAAGTGACATTGCGCATAAAATTAAAATAATGCCTACGATTGGTTTCCAAGCATCATCAGGCCTTTTATACCAATGTGATATTGACCAACTAATCCACAATGCATTATTTGACATTCCAACAGTAACATTTGCTAAAATATTATACTCATAATCAAACTTTATAAAATGTAAATATGATACATGTGCTATATATGCTGATATACATATAATAGCCCATATACTAGTTCGTTGAATATTACGTATTTGAAATATGCGCAAAACTCCATAAAATAAAGAATATAAAATTGAAAGCCCTGCCGAATAATAATCCAACCTTTCTGTTAAAGGAAAATCTCTTGAATGATAAACAGTCGACCATATCCAACTATTTATACCAATATAGGCATAAAAAATATAAAATTTTTTCATATAATAAGAATCTGGAATATTACGTTTTAAGAGTGGTAGATAACGATAATGTACATATCCATTTAATATGCTAAACATTACACTAGCGGGTTCTTGTATTCCAAATAGACGGTGAAAAGGCCATTTCCCATAATATTGGACTATTTCTTTGTTCTGACTTATAGCTTCGTTAGTTATCTTGTGTATACAATTGTATTTACAATTATCTTCACATGTCCAAGAAAAGAATCGTAAGTATAAAGGCAAAGTAGAATCTTGTGAACATTCTGTCGAGAAACAAGTATTAACACACGTCTGAAATTCTTCACTTCGATCTCCTGCTGAAGAAAAAACTGGCGGTAAATATAATAAAATAATGGATAAAGAAAAAAGTAACAATTTTGATTTTAATGAAATCATTTGTATTCCGCTGTAATTTGTTATATATGATACTTATTGACAATTTGTTAAAAGATAGACAATAAAAAACTGAAAAGGAAACGCGGAAGAAATTATGATTTAGAGAAATTCCGAAAACCCATGATTGTTACACAAGATAAAATCTGGCATATCTACATTTGACAAAAAAAAAAAATTTTTTTTTTAAAAAAAAAATGACTTCCCAAGATGCATCAAATCGACTTCAATTTCTTTGGAATGCGTCACATACATTTTTATCAACCGTGCCTAGTCTTTCTGCTTTTTATATGCAGCAATTTAATCAATTTTCTGCTGAAAAAGAATTGAGTCTTGCCGAAGCTGTTAAACGAAAATATTGTAGTTATTGTGGTAGCATTTTTCTCCCAGGTATAAATAGTCAAGTTAGAATTGAGAAAAACAAAAAAAGAAAAGGAAATAAAAAAAAGAATTCAGATCTCGATTTAGTTGGACAACCGAAAGGTAAACCATTATTGTTTTTTTATATTTTTAGTCAAATTAATTTTAATCAACTTGTGTATTATAGAATCGAATGTAATTAAGCAAGAGAAAAACTCCCAAGAAAAAAAAGAAAAGAGACAAATAATTTATATTTATCCATCGAATCATAACAATAATCCAAAAAAACAAACGCATATTAAACGTCAACATAAGAATCATGTATCTTATGTTTGTAACACTTGTAATCGTGAAACAAGATTCGCCGGAAATACCATGAAAGATACAATTAAACAGAATTCAGATGTTAAACAACAAAAAGAATATACTTCTAGCTTCACCACGTCTGTTTCCCAAGATTTCACCTTACATAAAATGGCGTCATTGAACTCATCTTTATCAACTCAAGATAAGTCTTCAAATTGTAAAAAGACAAAGAAGAAACAAAAGAAAATGCAACTTCAGCAGTTACTGGCCGAGGAAAAAAGAAAAAGCTCTGATAAAAGAAATGATTTTAATAATTCTTCAGATGGATTAAGCTTGAAAAATTTCTTGTCATCATTATGATATAGTATTGATTTTTCAACCGTTCATTTGAATCATTTTAGTATAGCCGTATAGGAATGTTAAAATATTCAGAGTTTAATTTTATTGCTCAAGTTGGTTTGTATCTGACTTGACTTTTAACTGTTTTTAACTTCAAAAGGTTTCATTGTAATAAGAACAAAAAAAATTATATAATATATAATTATCAAATGATATATAATTATCAAATATATAATTATTAAGTAATATATAATTAATAATAATACATTCAAACTAGTTTATTGTAAACCTGGTTTTAAACTGAGTTTGACTGGATTTGGAACCTAAACTGAACTGCTTTTTTTAGTATATATTATAAACTTATTAAACTTACTTAAATATCTGAAAAACTTGATAAACAATGGCCGGAGTTATCATTAATTTTTAAATATAAAACCCATGTAAATTCTATTAAATTAATGCTTAATTTAGTTTAGCTTTCTTGAATAAGACAATAAGACTGGAATTCCGTTATGGTCCTTATCTTGTTTTATGAGGATAATCGTACAGTAGTATATTATTGGTTACGAATTAGGTTAGCGCACACTTAACAACAATTTTGCATTGTAGTTAGGTCAGAAAAAATTGTTAAGATGTTCTATATAGAAAGTCATCATAAGCCTTACATAAGCCTGGATAAGCCCCTACAAGCCTTTATACATAGAAGTCACATGACTTTTCTGACGTTGAATTAATTTATTTATTATTTTGGGGTAGTTGCATGATGCATGCGTGGCAAGTTAAAATGACAAATCATAATCAATTATGCACGTAATCTTAATTTTTTTTTTTTTTTTTCATATTTAAATAGTTACTGTACCCGGGGCGGGATTTTTTTCGATCAGTTGTATTCATTCACGCATTTTTTCATGCTCTTTTATTTAGAAAAAATTTTTTGTGTATTCTGTTAAAGCTTTTTCATATACATTTCCAAAATTTACCGCATAAACAAATAACTTGAAATGAAAGTTATTAACAAAATTCTTAAGGCTCACGAAGAAGGAAGACCTTCCTGGTCCTTCGAATATTTTCCTCCAAAAACTCAACAGGTTTATATAAATTTAATTCTTCACTATTCCATTAACCAAGTTATATTATGAGAACTGCAAAACAATTTACGTCGGTTGTAGTTGACCTCAATAAAAACGCGAATTTGTGTTCGAATGAGTTTTCCTCATTTATACAAATTCTAATGTTTATCGAATATAAATTATAGTAAAAAAAATAAAAAAATTATTTGTTAAGCCATGAAAATATAAAAATTGACTAAATATAACAAACACTTCGCTCGTATCTTTACATGGTTTATCATACTAGGGTGTCCAAAATCTTTACGATCGTATGGAGCGTATGTATCGTCTTGGACCTGAATTCATTGATGTTACATGGAACGCTGGTGGTACTACTTCGCAACTTACGAGTGAAATCGTGGCTACTGCGCAATCTGTATACGGCTTAGAAACGATTATGCATCTTACATGTACAAATATGCCCAAAGAAAAAGTTGATAAAGCACTTAAGGTAACTAATTTCTCGTTTTTCCCGTTAATTGACTTTCATATGTATTCTCACGTTTATATTATAAAATTATTTTATTCTCAGGATGCAAAAGAATGCGGTTGTCAAAATATTCTTGCTCTTAGAGGTGATCCACCTCGTGGTCAAGAACACTGGGAAGCATGTGAAAATGGGTTTTCACATGCCATTGATTTAGTTCGTTATATTCGCCAGCAATATGGGGATTACTTTGGTATTGCTGTTGCTGGATATTGTGAAGGTCATGTTGATAATCCTGATAAAGATGATGATCTTTATCGACTCAAGGAAAAGGTTGATGCTGGTGCAGACTTCATTATCACACAAGTGTTCTATGATGTTGATATATTCTTGAATTGGGTCAAAAAATGTCGCGCTATTGGCATTTCTTGTCCTATTATTCCCGGGATTTTGCCAATTCAAAATTATTCTGGTTTTAACAGAATTATAACTCTTTCAAAAACTATCGTTCCACAATTTGTGTTAGAAGAATTGGAACCAATTAAGGATGATGATGCTGCTGTTAAGGAATATGGTATTAGGTTGGCTGTTGATATGATCAGAAAAATGTTCGCTGATGGTATAAAATGCTATCATTTTTATACCATGAATCTTGAGAGATCAACTCGATTAATTTTAGAAGCTCTAGAATTTGTTCCTCCTATAGAAAACGTGAAACCTTTACCTTGGTGTCCAGTGAGTGTTGATATATCTTTTTTAAATATGTATATAATAAACATATATAGTATCATGCTTAATAGTATCTATTACGCGATATTTAGTCTCTTTCGGCAAAACGCAAGAAAGAAAATGTTCGCCCTATATTTTGGAGAAATCGCACGAAAAGTTATATTGCTCGAACAGAAGCATGGGATGAATTTCCTAATGGTAGATGGGGTGATTCCCGCTCGCCTGGTAATTAAAAAGCGGCTCGTCAATTTGTTTATTTATATAAAGTAAATTTATATATGCTAATTTATAAATTCTTCAAATTTTCGATTAGCTTTCGGTGAGCTTGATGGTTACGGAGTTTCTCTTAAACACAGCGTAAGTATTAATTTTGTCATTAACTAATTTTTATAAAAAATTTCAACAAAATTCAATCTTTTTTTTACATTCTTAATTAAAGAAAAAGGGAGCTTTGGAGTTATGGGGATATCCTCAAAAACATAGCGATATATTTGATGTATTTGTTCAATATTGTCGTGGTGAAGTAAATTCTTTACCATGGTCTGATCAACCTCTAGCTGAAGAAAGTAATATTATCAGAGAACAATTAGCACATATTAATTCCTTGGGATATTTAACAATCAATTCACAACCTGCTGTTAATGGAGTTCGTAGTGATCATAAGATTTTTGGTTGGGGCCCAAAAAATGGATATGTTTATCAAAAGGTAAATATTCTTATTTGTATTCAATTACACGTTAATATATTAATTATCCTTATTATTTATTACTTAGGCATATTTAGAAGTTTTTATTTCTCCTACACAACTTGATGCTCTCATTGCAAGAATTGAGCGTGATACTAATATAACATATTATGCTGTAAACAAACAGGTAATTATTAATCATATAAAGGTTTATTTTGGTTGTTTATTGGATCAAAATTTTAAATTTTACTTTTTAGGGAGATTTAAAAACAAACACTCAAAGTGATGGGCCAAATGCTGTTACTTGGGGAGTTTTTCCTGGAAAAGAAATAATTCAACCAACAATTGTTGAAGCAGTGAGCTTTACGGCTTGGAAGGTAATAAAGATAAATTTTTTTTTTTGGTAACTTTTCATATAATTGTAAATTTCGATTATTAATTTTATTAATTTTAAATTTTATGATAGGATGAGGCATTCGAATTATGGAATGAATGGACCAAAATTTATGATACGGATTCCATATCCGCTAAACTGATTACAGATATAGCGGATAATTGGTATCTTATTAATATAGTGCATAACGATTTTCATGATAGTGATGGCATATTCAAAATTTTTGAACAAATTTCTGTCACAGACTATGAAGCTGATCGTTAAATTTACACGAGTAGAATATTAAACATAAAAACATTTAATTTATGTTGCTGGTAGGTAAATATGTATAGATGGTTCTCTAATTTGGGAACAAACTCTGATGAAAATGTAAAAGTATCTATAGAGCAACTTTACATTGATTAATTTTATTTTATTTTATTTTATTATTTTTTAAAAAAAACTGTTCTTACTATCATAAAATTAATTCATTTGGATGTTAATTTAAAATTGGCTTAGCTTGTATAAGAAATTTGTATTATTATAATGGTACAGTACATATATACATATTTTTTTTAATACCTTTTTAATATAAAAATACATATCAAAAATTGTTCAGTATTAAAAAAACCAAAACAAAACTAAACTCTCTTTTTTGTAAATGCATAATATCCTCATGGCAAATCAAATTTTGGTGTCACTACACGAATTTCAGAATCTGTTCAGGTGTTGAGATCAGTTAAGTTTAAATAATGTACTTAACCAGCTTTAGAATTTAGTATTTTGTAATTAATGATGACGTATAGATATCACTGATTACAAATTAAATTAAGGCACATTTAAACCGCAACAATTATTGAGATAATAGTAGCGGTTTAAAGATATAGAGCTTTGTCGATTTAATTTGATGTTTACGTCTTTTATAGCATGCAGTCTCATCAACTTTACGACTCATTTAATCCTTAATTCCTTATAAAAAATTTCAACAATAGATAAATAAACCAAAAAACTGAGAAAGTTGAAAGATGGGTAGGTGTGATGTATAATTTTTTCCGGATGATATTTTTGACAAATATATTCACATCACCCGAAAAAAAACCCAAAAAGAACTATAAATGTTTAAGGCATATCGTTCATGTTTGATTGTTATTGGGAAATTGTGATTTTCATGATTAGCAGAATAAGAATATAAGCAAGTCCCCATAAACATCAATGAACGATATCACCATCCCATCATAACTGAATACCACCATATACCTGTCTCTTATACACATCTAGATGTGTATAAGAGACAGACCATATACTGACCTGATATAATGTATATTCATCCATACAACCCTTAAGGAAAAAAAGGAAAAAAAAAAATTGATCGGGAATAAAATAAAACTAATAAATGAGGGAATACAAGCTTTTGTTCAGGTAATTATACTAATTATTTGCAAAAAATGATTATGATAATTAATAAAATCTAATTACATAAATATGAAATATAGATCCATATCTTTCTCCCTTTTTTTGCAAATTTAGAACAAGAAGCTCATATCCTTCCCATTTACTCATTATTCTCATAAAATTTGTATGCAAGCTCAGCTACTTCCTCCTTTGCATCTACTTTCTTAGAACATAACTTACTTCCAGTAAAAACACGATTATTAATTGTAACGCTACATCGATATCCTCCATATATATTATGGAAGTCAAAATCAGGCTTTTCCAAATTTCTTTTTTGGCAAAGTTCATGAAGCAAAGTAACATGTTTCTTTCGTAAAACTCTTCCATTTTTATCAGAGACCACCTTTTCAGGAGCTCTCTTTGGTTTATGCAAAGCCGCGGCAGCACATAAACGTTTACTTTTACGGTTTCGAACAAAATTCTTTTTTGTAGATCCATTTTTATTATGTGAGGCAGGGACAGCATACGGATGAAATCCATTATTGACACTTGTTTGAGTTATTGAAGAAGAATTCACTGCGTTAATATATGGTACGCTAGATACACTAGTTGACGGAGATCCAATTTGACACTCGACCGAAGTTGGAGAAACGTAAGTTTCCGGTTTAACTTCAACATTGTTGAAAAAAGGAGCAGTTGAGGTGCTAATACATCCATATGAATCAACCGCCTGTTGATGGTTATAACCAATTAAATTATTATTTATATTGTTATTAGTATTACCGTTTGGATTCTGATATCCTAATGATTGACCATATGTAAGATTCGTAGCAGCTTGGATATTATTACTCATAGTTGGCATATAATAATTAGTATAGGTGTCGTAAGGGTAAACATAACCATTCGGAGAATAATTTACAAGAGGAGTTGGTTGCGTTGATTCCAGTATTTTTTTAGTATCTTCCTTAAAATCACATTTATACAATCCTTGTCGCATCTTTTGGTTCTTGATCTTTCGGCTGATATCTGCTTGCTCTTTCTCAACAAATTCATTATATAATATATCAAAAGCTATTTGAGATATATGGTCTTTTGCATCTTTTTTAACCCAGAATACATGTTCAGAACTAAATTTCCTCGAATTTACTTCGCAATCCATTAAGTATGTTCCAATCCATTCCTGTCTTACGTGATAAACAGGTTGCCCAATTTTATGGTATTGACAGAATTCAAGCAACATAACGCAAGGTCTTTCATTGACATGCGTTTCTTTAAATTTTTTTAACCATTCAATAGAACGAGGAATCATATCTGAAGGTTGCATCAACTTTCCAATTTGTCTTACTCCTTTACAGAACCTCCCATCCTTCTTTGGAACTGTGTGAGATTTAACAAGAGCATCCTTAATTTGTTTAAAAATGATTGGCATTTGTTGTTCTAGGGTTAACAAAGCAATTTTCGCAGCATCTTCTTTTGCTTCTTGTTTCTTTAATTTTAATTCTGGAGACCTAAAACTTTGGTCAAGAAATTCTACGGTACAGTAAAATCCATTAGCAATAAGTTCTTGGGTGTAAGCATATACTGGAGGAGCCGGTGTCTTCAACTTTTGATGTATAGTATTTAGCCAAGTGATCGGATTTAACTCATTATAATCGGCCTCGCTCCAACGTTTTAATACTATAAGACCTGGAGGGTCACATGAATTTTGAACTGGAAAATTATTTACACTAGGGCTTGATGCAGCAGCTCGAGTTTGAGCTTTTAATTTTCCTTTGACGTCTTTTGGCATGGCTCTAAAATTTCTCTAGAAAGTTTTTACCTTGCACATTGTATAATGAACAGCAAATCATTTAAATCATTTCACCTGACTGACATCGATATTATATCATGATCAGCTGACAATTAACTAAAGTTTTTAATAGATTTTATAGAGATCAACAACTTTGGTTCTAATATAACAGGGTTTTTTCTTTGGTGGTTCTATTGGTCAGTGAGTAAGGTATAATTATAATGTTTGACAAAGGGTTTTAAGTGGTATATCAAACTATCATTTTAATTTAAGCTTTATTGTATAATTTGAATATAGTATTATATAGATAGATACAAACTTTAAAAATTAAAATTACTAAACTAAAAAACCATTAGGTTAAATTATATGATCTCTTTTTTTAAAAAAAAATTTAGTAAATTTAAAAATCAAGATTGTTTTTTTTCTTCCGTAGGTTTTGGCTTCTTTTCATCTTCAAGTTTAGGAGTTTGCTCTTCCAGCATAGCATCTATTTTTGCATTTAAATTATCAAGTCTCTCATCAAGCTCGTTTAATGCTCCCTCCGCCTTATCCATATCTTTAAGTATTTCGTTAATATTTAAATTTTCGTCTATAATAGAATCTACCGATAATTCCGACTGATTAGTTGGGGATTTAGGAGATGCGGAACCAGGCATTTTTATGAATTGCTGTTTTCTTAATTCTTATGGGAAATTAAATATTCGTATTTATTGACTGCAAAAAAAAAGAAAAAAAACAATCTTATTATAAATAAAAAAAAAAAAAAATCAAATAAAAAAATAATAATAACTAACTAACTGAAAGGATAAATACTTTTTTAATATAACTGATAATTAGAGTTTATAGATTGTCTTTTCAAGAACAAACATGTTAGAATGCAGGAAAATCCAATTTATATTCGTTTTACATTGATACTGTTTCACCAAAATGATAAAAAAAACCAAAAAAACGTGGAAGCGTGTATTTCATGTACTGCCTATATTAACGTGTGGTTGATTTTGTTGAATAGCATAATTTTAACGCTTATATTTCCATCATCTCCTTTTCCATTAGGAGAATCAAAACGGTGCAAGTCACCTTTGCAGGTGGAGTATACGATCCACTTCGAGACGTTTTTTCTAACTGCATTTACTTATTTTTTTTTTTTTTAAAAAAAAAATAAAATAAAATAAAATTTAGATCTCATTAACGGTTGCAACATCGAAACATAAGTCTCTCCTTTATATTTATTCCTATCATTTCCTTCGAACAATTTTAAATTCCTAACTTATATTGCTCTCATATAACGAAACTACAAACAAGATCGTACCATAAACGTTTTTTTTTTTTATCGCAATAGTTTGAAAAACAATATTGCGACCTCATAAAATATGATATCAACTTCCGTTTGGACGCCTTTGCCTAGATTTGGATATGGGTTTGCTATTTATCCTTTTACACCTGGAGCGCAAACAAATTCGTCTGATTCAACAAAAGAAAGGCCTCAAGAAGATATTCAAGACTATCCTAAGGAAGAACTTCCGGAAAAGCCAAAAGAAACACCTGTACCTGAAGCTGCTGAAAATAATGTTTCATCTGATACAGCATCGATATCTTCTGAAAATTCAAATTCGCACATTATAACATATCAAGTCACTCTTGAAGTAGGTGATGAAGTATACGTTTTTGAGGAACAAGGGGATTGGTATCGTGGTTATGTCGTTTCTCAATTACGCCAAACCGAAGAACCTCAGGTTTATGTCGGAATTTTTCCAATGAATCATGTTTATATAAAAGAATATTTAGAAGACTTGGAATTACAAGTATATGATACACATAGTAGCGATTCTGCTCCCTTTTCTCCGAGAGGTGAACGAAGTAATCGTCCTCCACCTCCTTTACCGTCTCTTAAATGCGGCGATGATACAATTAGTGGTAAAACTGAACCATTGGTGGATGAGATTGCTAGCACAGTAAGAGAATGGAGTAGTCTTTTACCAAAATATCTGGAAGAGCGAAAATATGACATGTTCACAACAGTCAAGGATCAAATAAATAATTTATTACAAGGACGTCGACAACTATTAGCCCAAACCTTATCTCAAGATGAATTAAGCAAATTACGTAAAGAGCTTATTAATAAGTTAGTTTCCGGAAATTTAATTCAGGATTTGGATATTATCGTACGAAATCCCGAAAGAGGTTTTTTAGCAGATGAGACCAATATATCTGCTATTCGACTTTACCAATTGCAGTCTCAATTGTCACTTTTAAATGTAGATAAATCAAAGTCTGACTCAATTCTTATGAGTCCTATAAGTCCCTCTTCATTAGCACCTTCCGGTAGTAGTTACTTCCATTCCCAAAATTCAGGTTCAGCAACCACTGACAATAGTAGCCATGCACCGAAATTTTATCATGTCTTTTTAGATCTAAAAGCTTGGGTTGCTTCCATTTCAGCTCCCGGGGAATATACCGAACTTTATTTTTCATTATATACAAAAGCGGACTCAAAATTTATTACTGAGGAATATTTTATTATATTGAACCATAATGGTGTTCCAAAAGATGAAAGCAAAATTGGCAAAATTCGGACAATTTTTACTGATCTTTCGCCTCATGACATCCAGGAACAAATTTATCTTGTATGCAGAATTGTACGTACAGGAAGTATGAAATTAGCCGATAAGGATAAGGAAGTTACAAAAGAAGGTGGTTCAATGACTTCATTATTTTCAAAATCATCAAAAGATATGGATCAAGTTGATCAATTATCACAATCTAATGGAAGAATAACGCCACAAACTTTCCGTAGGCCGTTTGGTTGTGCCGTTCTCGAAATAACTCATCTTCTTCAAGGTAAAGAGAAGGAAACTCTCAGTGAGCATGTGATGCCCATATATGTACCCATTCAAGAGTCAACATTTGCTACCCTACACGAAGATATTATGCATAATCACATTAAGGAGTATGAAAAATCTCCACGTGCTGAAATGGTTAGTGTCTCACTTAGACCATATTATGGCGAGACCACAACTATTATTAAAGAAAATCCTGCGCTACTCCAAGATATTCCAATCACATCTCGCCTTGGATTTGCTGATGTTGTATTTCCTGGGGATACAAGAAATGAAATTTATCTTAAACTTATATCAGGAGATTTTACGCAAGGTCGCACTACAACGGCTAAAAATGTTCAAGTGACAGCTGAAGTGAAGTTAAACACAGGAGAAACCTTAGAAAATGTGATATCACAAGGAGCTGGTGAACCTAAAGTTTCACAATTTGAATCCCTGGTTTTTTATCATTCAAATAATCCTATATGGGGTGAATTGATTAAATTAAATATCCCGGTAGAATTATTTGAACAGGCTCACGTATTTCTTACCTTTCGGCATCGTTCTACTAAGGATAAAAAAGAGGATAAAATTTTCGCGTTTGCTTATATGCCCTTATTTTCCGAAAATAGGGCATTTATAAGTGATGGTAAACATTCACTTGTTTTATATAAATATGATAAGCAATGGACGAATCCTTCTATTTACCTCAAAGCACCATGGTCTCCCACTGCTACAGTTTCTGATACAGCCTCAACACATTCTTCCGTAAATTCACATTCTTCACATAAAATGGTTCCTTCTTCTAAAGATACTGTAGTAATCTGGACATTTTTATGTTCGACAAAGTACACTCAAAATGAAATCCTCCTTAAATTATTAAATTGGGAAAAGCAGCTTATGTCAGATGTAAACGAGATAATGCCGGTTTTGAAGAAATTTACCTTTGTGAGTGAAGTAGAAATAGTCAAATTTCTCCAAGATATCTTTGATGCACTTTTTGGTATACTCGTATCAACAAGAAATCAACAAGGAGAGCTTGATGATTTAATATTCAATGCCCTTGTTATAATCCTTGGAATAGTGTCTGATAGGCGATTCATGAATTTTAGGCCAGTACTTGATGTATATATTGAAAAACATTTTTCGTGTGCAGCCGCGTCTTCTCATTTAATACGTTCAATGAATCGACTTGTATGTAATCCGACAAGCCCAGATAATGCTCAAAGTTTGCGCTCAGCTATAAAAGTTTGGCAATATATTTTTAAGATAATAATGCGATCTCGCGAACTTCAGCGAACAAAAGAATCCAATATGGGATTGTCTGGTAATTATGTTGAAGAACAATTCAAAGAAGAACTATTTTCCTTATTTAAAAGTATTGATAAGCTAATGTCTATAACAACACCTCAGTCTATAATTGGGACACAAACATTAGCATTACAACATTTCGCTTCTATTTTTACAGATCTTGGAAAATGCTTTACTCCTGGTGATCTTGTACAAATTGCAATCCGTTTCACGGAATCCGTCAGATTGCCAAAGGGTAAATTATTAGCATATAAATTATTAGTTATACTTCAATTTTGTCGTGGACCTTTATTTGAAAATGCGGAATCTCGCGCAACTCTTTTACGAGGAGTATCTGAATGGGTTATAGATCATATGGGTAAATGGGAAAGAACTAGCAAACAAAATGGTGATAATGACTCTGTAAGGATGCAATGGCAAGATGGTATTCGATTATGCGTGACCATTATTGCTGTTATGTTAGAAAGTTTACAATGCTCAATTGAAAGAGCGACTGATGAAGAAACTAAAGAGAGTGAAATTGAAAATGTTAAGGTTATTCTACCACTTATGATGAAATTATGTGAGTCATATCGAGAGTTGCACATTACAGCTGATGAAATACATCCTCAACGAGAGCGAACAGCGTCTAGTGGGGCCGTATTATCTTCAGCAATATTTTCTTGGTCGTACTCGCTGTCTGGTGTTACTGCACCGACATCGACAACGGGTTCATATAGAAGTTCAAAAGAATTTTTACTCTCTCCATTACAGAATTCATTTTCATCAGGATTAGGTGAAATAGCTGCTGTCATACTACAAATAATGTTTTTATTAACTCAGGAACATATGAAGGAACATTTTTTATCTACTTATTATAGGGAAGGACATGAAGCAACAGCAGAATTTTTGATTTTATTATTTCAAGTTTCTCGATCTATACTTTTAAATGAAGCTTTCCCAGAGTCATGGTTAAACATGAATATAATGGCTCATAAAGTATTTCTGAAATTCCTTGAGCCTATTTCATCTTTAATGGAAAAAAATTATATCCCGGATAAAGAAATTCCAGATACATTCAATGAACAATTGTGGAAAGAATATTTTAACTGCCTATTATCTTTATTGACAAGTAAACATTTAGTAATCGAAAATTTTACTCCTCAGAAACGTCGTGCAATATGGCGTTTAGCTGGAGATCTTAGAGGAAGAGCTGCAAAATTATTATCTACTTTATGGGATGCTATAGGATGGGAACATGGCAAAGATGGTAAATTAGGCGGATATCAAGTTCGTTTCATTAATACTTTATTGGGACCAATTTTAGAATTATGTTTATCTCATCATGATGAATTACGTTCTGCTGCCATAAATGTATTATTCGGTATGATTGTTACTCAATATACAATGGATGAAGATTTTAAACAAATGGAATCGGATATTATTGATACTTTAGATAAATTATTTATGTCTGAGAATAAAGGAGATGAAATATCACGAGCATATTTCATAGTCCAATTACGTAGACTTTTTGAAAATGCTGCAGTTGAAGAAGCTTTACGTGAAACAGTAATGAAGTTTTTAGACTCTCTTAGCGAATTTTTGGAACTATTATTAGGTGTTCGCGAGTTACCGGAGGGACAAGAGTTTCAGGATGATCGTATAATGTGTACATTGAAATTGATGAAATTTATAAAATCTATCGATAGAGAACAAATTTACATTAAATATGTACATCAACTTGTTCAAATGCAAGTTCATAGTCATAACTTTGTAGAAGCTGCTTTGACTCTTAAGTTACATTCAGATTTATATGATTGGGACCCAAATTCAGAAGTTGAAGCATTACCTGAAATGGATTTTCCAAAACAATCACCTTTTGATAGAAAGGAACGGTTATATATACAAATATTAGACTATTTTGTAAAGGGTAAAGCATGGGAATGTGGGATTGAGATATGTAAGGAGTTGGCTCATCATTTTGAATACACAACTTATGATTATCAACGTCTCAGTAACATATTGAAGCAACAAGCCGTATTACATGAAAATGTAATCAAGAAAGAACGATATTTCAGTGAATACTTCCGTGTAGGTTTTTATGGTAGAGGATTCCCCGCAAGTTTACAAAATCGGCAATTTATTTATCGTGGTTATGAATGGGAAAAGATTGGAGCTTTTTGTGAACGTATGCAAAATAAGCATCCCCAAGCAGTATTACTGAAGTCAAATAGTACTCCTTCTGATGAAATTCTTTATGGAGATGGTCAATTTTTACAAGTTACTGCTGTTATGCCTGAACCTAACAGTAATCATCCTGTTTTCAAAGGAGATGTTCCTTCATCTATTAGAGCATATTATGAGCACAATTCGGTAAATACATTTAGTTTTTCAAGACCTGTAAATAAAAATCCTGATGGAGTAAAATCATCAAATGAGTTTTTGGATTTATGGACTGAAAAAACCATAATGGTCTCAGAAGATCATTTTCCAACTGTGCTTCGTCGTTCTGAAATAATTCAAGTTACTGTTTCTGAAGTTTCGCCAATTGAAAATGCAGTGTTAGCTATGAATGCTAAGAATCGCGAATTGAAAATTTTAGAAGCCAAATACAATGCTTATCTTACATCATCCAAGGCAGTTGGTAAAGTTAATACGAATCCCTTGTCCATGTCATTAAATGGAGCAGTAGACGCACCTGTTAACGGTGGTGTTCCAATGTACAAAAAAGCCTTTTTTGGTGATGACTTTTTAGCATCTAATCCGGATAAAGAAATATTTGTAAATCAACTAAAAAAAGCTATCGACGAACAGGTCAATATCTTATTAAATGTGACTTTTTTGATTATATTATTTAAAAAATTAAAAAAAAATTTTTTTCCAAAAAAAAAATAGGTTGATATTGTTGATAGATGCTTGGAAATACATGATCGTCTTGTGTCTACAGACATGCGACCTTTGCATGATACTTTAGTTAAATGTATGTTAATTAAAAAAATATCGTTTAGTATTACTCTGAATTATATGAATAATTAAAAATATATATATTTTTTTTCAGTCTTTCTGAAAAACTTCGCAGAAGAAATAAATCGATTAGCAGAGAGCAGAAATATGGAACCAATTGCCGAACCAAAGGTAATGACACCACCACCTAATCGAATTGTATCTACCGTGATATCACCGTCTCCATCTTTCCTACCTCCACTAAATACCAACAAACCGTTCCGCGTCACTTCTTTGTATACGAATTCACCTACAAACACTGAACAGACATCACCCATATCACCTACAAACTCAAATTCATCAATCATAACACGAGTAGCAGCAGCAACTTTCAATTCCTCACGTAACTCTATCAGCACGCAAGGCAATATATCAAATAATTCTATATATACTAAACGGATATCTGAATCTTCGGAAGGTAGTAGTGGGAATATTCCTCCCAATAGTCCTAATGGTGATACAATTACGGAAATACCAGTTATTGAAAAACGACAAACAACACGTAAAGGATCAATTGTATTTGGTGATAGAAGGATGACCATTAAAAAAGGATGGTCTTTTAATCGTAATAGAAGTACGACGCAATAAAAAACGATTGATTAGGTTAAAAATAATATTGAATTTTTCGAGTCGATGGAAGTTAATAATACATTATTTATTTTATTATATACATATATTGTATGCATATATAGATATATTAATTAACACATATATAATATTTGTTTTATAAATTTAATTAATTAATTAATCAATACTGATTTGATCAATAACTATCTATTTATTGTACCTTATGAATTATTATAATATTCGATCTATTCAGCTGTCCTTAAAGATAGTTCCCAACTTTGAGGAAAACGCTGGCCTAAGTATTAATACGCAAATTTGAACGTATGCGACTCCAATAACGATGGGTCCCAAAATCAGATATTTCAAAATATAAAAAATCCGAGATATCATTTAATAGAAATTTGTGCTTGTTGCTACTCTTGAATCTCTTGATTTTGCTGTTGCTGTTGTTGCTATAATAAATGAAAAAAGAATTTAAAACCATATAATTACTTCTTGTAGAAAAAGTTATACAAACCTGTTGCCTCCAAGCATGCGCCATTGCCAATAATTTGAAATTAGGTTGTTGAGTTTGATCGTCAGGAAATATGTAATCAAAATATTCTTCCCAAGCAACACCTGTCTGTCCCTCAGTTTCCTCAAGTTTACGTCGTTTCTTAACGACTTTAGGCATTTTAGCTTCAACGGTAGAAAGTGTTTCCTGATTGCCATGGTTTGTTTCAAATTCTTTCCATGATTCAAGAAGCAAAACGCGCTATTGAATAATTAAGAGTTATTAAAATATCATAAAGAAAGCGAAAAATAAACATAAAATTTTATCATTTATGAGAGATCGAGTACCTCCTCTTTCAATTCTTTTTCTTTCATGCTTTGATAAGCATTCTCAAATACTTTGCGCGCTCTTTCCAATGCACCTTGCTTGTCTCCTTCATCAGCATTTAGTTCAAATTGCGCAAAACTGATCCAAACTTTAACATGACCAGTCTTTTCCAATAAACGTTGATACAAAAGACGCGTCTTTTCGAATTCCTCTTCTGTAAATTCAAAATCAATATACGCTTTCCATAATAACTCTGGCATATCTAAAGTGGGCTGTTCTACAGCCAATTCGAATATTGCCCGACATCTGTCATAGTCACCTAACATTCTTTCTAGCTCCGCGAACTTAATCCATGCATAACAATTGGATGGATTATGTTCCAAATATTTAGTATATAGAGTACGACAACGATCGAATTCTCGTAGCTTTTAACATAAAATTGACTTCTATTAATATCTATTACGATTAAATTAGTAATATACACACTATTTACCTGCAATTCGATTTCAATATATCCTTTAAACAATCTATCTTTTGGACACATCCCTGTTTGGAATTAAATTTATGAATATCAATGATAAGCATTACATAAATAATAATATAATTATAAAAAATAAATAAAATAAAATAAATACCTATTGCCATTCCCAAACTCTTTCTTGCCGCTTGCAAGTCCAAACGCCGTATTTCAAATTGTGCATATAGTAACCATATCTTTGCAAATGTAAATTTCTTGTGAGGTAATATCTTCAAACATTCTTGATAAATTTGGCGCGTCCTATCATAATCCTGGTTTAACGGATCAAAAGCATATTATTACTATACAATATATAAAATACGGTAAACATTATTTCTCGAAATCCAATCCATAATTACTTTGGTTTCAAGCTCTTCGTATAACGCATAATTTATCCATAAATATATATATCGCCTCCAGAACCGTTTCTCTTGTGTCGGAGGTACTTGTGCAATGGCACGTTCGTAAATTTCACGAACTTTTTCAATATCGCTCGCATTTTCCTCTAATCTCGCGTAATCAAACCATATGTCATAATTCTTTGGGTTTGCTGCTAATTCCTTTAAAAAAAAGCTATAATATGAGTTTAATGTTATCTTTCTAATAGTTAAGGTTGTTTAATCTCTACCTCGTCATATTGCAACCTTCGCTTTCCAACCACCACGTCTTCAATTTCATCTTTGTCACCATGTTGTTTTTCAAATTGAGTGTACGCGTTATATAGTGATTCAGATTTGGATCTAGGTAGCTTGTCCAACGCATATTTATAAATAATACGTGCTCTTTCAAACTAAAATTGTAATAAAAATATGTAAAATCAAAAGAAAAAGAATACCAATTTTCTGCGACTATATGCAACTACAACTACGCACCTCTTTCAACCTAGTTTCAAATTTTGCAAATGCTATGAATATCTTTTGGTCCATATGATCTTCACCTAGTACTTCAATGGCTTGACTAAGAATCTCTCGACACTTCTCTATGCATAAAATAATAGGTACTTATTAGGTAAATTATTCTTTAATTTACTATAGGATAAAAAAAGAAATATTCACCCAAATTATTCTGCTCCTCTTCAAATTTAACCCATTTCAGCCAATTCTTTGGTTCTGGATGTACATTAACGAACCTCTCATAAATTGCTCTTGCTCTATCAATTTCTTTGTATCTTTTTTCCATTTTTATATAAGCATTCCACGCTGATTCATCCGGTTCCCACTGCATCCAACGTTCAAATATTTGACGTGCTCCTGCAACATTTCCCAACATTTCTTCCATATAAGTATATTTGTACCTTTGATAATATTAATTAATAAGTCAACTTAAACTATTTGATAATCCCATATTTAAATATTAAAGAACTCACCAAAATTGGTCCACTCGTGGTAATAAAGTAACAGCGCGATCAAACAAATTTCTAGCATGATTGATATTGCGATTCTTCATTTCCATTTCAGTATATTTAATAAAAAGGGTAACGTTGCGCGAATCCACATCCAATGCCCTTTCATATATCGAACGCGCTCTATAAGAAGAGTGATTGCATGAAGTTTAAACTTTAAATATCTCGAATACATAAAAAAATTTAAGTCTTTTAATAAAGAAACCTATTTAATTCTTTTTGACTTTCTTCCCATGCTGCATATTTCAACCAACTTCCGATATTTAATCTATTTCTTCTTATAGCATCTTCAAATTCTTTCCTTTTACGTAAACGATATTCTGACAATTCTTCTAAGTCGGAAATCTTTTGACGAGGTGCTTTCTTCGCAGATTCTTGTCTCTCTTTGGCTTCACGAAGAATTTGTTCAGCTGTAATTTGAATCGGCGCAGGATTTTTGTTTTTGATCTACATAGAAGTACAAAATTTTAAATCAAACAAAGCATTTAACATTTAAGTATATAAAATTTACCTTTGGAGGACCTCGCTGTTGTTTATAAAGATTTGGTACTTGTGATGGATCCATTTTGAAAGTCGATAGATATAAGTTCTCTTGACAAACGATTTTTATTTTTTTATATGATACAGATCTTTTTTTTGATTAGGTATTAGACGTATTACCATTTCTATCGACTTGCACGTGATGATAAGTGTTTTTTCGATATATCCGATATATCGATATATCCAAACGTATTACAAGGAATTTTGTTATTGAATTGGCAAAATGATATAATATCCCAAGCAAAAAATTTTACAACGGGAAAATCTGAAATTTACTCAAAAGAAACCTCATCAAGATAGTTTAATTAAATATCAAATACACCAAAATGTCCTTAGTATTGAGCTCAGTGCGGGACACTCTATATGCCGTTACTTCTTGTTGTTTTCCGAATCCAACACTTCACATAAATCGCCGAACCTTCAAGGTGATAAAATTACTTGGTGAAGGGTGAGTATTATTTTAAAGTATTTATGTTTTCTTCTGATCCTTAGATATAAAAGTTAAATCAATCTGTGACTATATAGAGGATTTTCCTATGTTCATCTGGTACAGGATACCAGCACTGGTCGATATTACGCTTTAAAAAAGATTCGTTGTCAATTTGGTTCCGATTCCGTGAAAGATGCCATGAAGGAGGTGGATATGTATAGATTATTTTCACATGAGAACATTATCAAAGTCATTGTAAGTTTGCATATTCAATCAATATTTAAGAAATTGAAATTTTAGGTTAATAAGCTTATGTGTTAGGATACTTGTGTTGTTCAAGATAAAAACGGTGGTAAAATCGTTTATATATTTTTACCATATTATAAGGTTAGTCATTATTCATTACTTTCGTATTTAGAATTCAACATATTTATATTTAAAGTTGATGATATAGAGCGGACTTCAAGATGTCATCAACAATAATTTGGAAAATAATAAATATTTTAGTGAGAAAGAAATGTTGAAAATTTTTAGAGGAATTTGCTATGCTGTTAGAGCTCTTCATACTTATAGATTTCCTAGTGTTCCTTTACGATCAGAGAATGGAATAACGAATTCAAATTTAAATGGAATAGAAAATGAAATGAATAATTCAATATCGTTACAATCCAATAATTCACAAAATGAGGATGGTGTTGTACCATTTGCACATAGAGATATTAAACCTGGGTAAATAAAAGCACTTATTATCTTCAATTTAGTTTTATTTGTTTTTCAAGTAATTTAATAAAATTTTTTTCATAGTAATATTTTGCTAACAGATGATGCTGATTCGCAACCCATATTGATGGATTTTGGGTCTTTGGTTCGAGCACGAATAAAGATTCAAACTCGCAATGAAGCTTTAATGCAACAAGACTTAGCAAGTCAACATTCCACTATGCCATATCGGGCACCAGAGTTGTTTGATGTAAAGACTAATGTTGAACTTAATGAAAAAGTTGATATTTGGGTAAGTTGGTAAAAAAGTCAGTCTTTACTCATATTTAAATTAACCTCATTTTTTTCATAAAAAGTCATTAGGATGTACTTTATATGCTATGGCTTACGGATCATCACCATTCGATAACAATATTAATGAGCAAGGTGGATCGATTGCTTTAGCTGTCCTCAACGCACAATTTCGTTTCCCCCCCACTGAGCAAGACAAGTAATTAACGAACAATTTTTTTTTGTGACATGATTAACCAAGGTTCAAATGTACTTAATTTATATTTAATATAGATATTCTCCAGAGTTTAAGGATTTGATCAGTTTTATGTTAAAGGTAGACCCCAAAGATCGGCCGGATATTCATCAAGTATGTCTTTATTTTTTCCTTTGGTGATTACCCTAATCATTGTCTAATGTGAAGTTTTTACATAGGTTATTGCTAAAGTTGACACACAATTGGAACAATTAAGCTCTTGAAGGATAAATGAATCCCAATACTTTATAGCCAATAACTTCAAACTATTCTTGTTTTTTTTCTTATAATTTTTCATTCATATTCTTCTATTTGAAATACCTAATATGTATTCTTTTCTCTACGTGTATTGATATGTTTACTATAAATGTTGCATTATATTAGTTATGTCTGCTTTGAAAATTGTATTAATTATTGTATCTGTACTTGATTTATTTAGTCAAAATGGAAATAAAAGTAAGTCTCATAAATTTAATTATTATGATGTATTAGGCGACCACCTGAAATGCAACTTAGTGTAATTTTAGCCACGTTCAGCAGCATTAAGAAATTAACTATATTATGGTTGTACGTACAAACTGGACACCAGCGTAACTACCAAAAATTATTGTCACGTGATCAATTTTACCGATCATAACTAGGTTTTTTTTAAATGAAACTTTATACAATAATTATTCAGCTTTTAAAATCATTGTTTATATAGGAATGCTTGCCTTCTCTTCAAGTTAATTATAGTTAAAAGGATTTGATTTTAAAACTGCATAGTACTTAATTGTTTTGGTAAATTTTTATCATCTATTTTTGGAAATAATCTGCAAATTTTTGATTACATGCCAGTAGTTATACTAGGAAAATCATTAATATTAATGCTATTACCGGACACTTCTAAAAAATGACCATTAAATCACATTATTTCAACGTCCAGTGATCAGAATTTAACGATTTATGATTCATTGGATTCGTCTAATTGAGACGCATCTAACCGCAGTATTTTCAAGTCTGTAAGTTCAATAGATCAGAAGTTATTGCTGAATGTCTAAAAAAAGTAAAATGCAAATAACTTTTGATCCATCAATTCCAGAGTAAAGATGTTAGCCGTAACTGTAATATTAAGACACAGTGTCATATGTAATAGGTTGCAACCTATTTACATTAAAAAGCAAAAGTTGTAATGCTGTAATTAGGTTGTAATGCCATAATTAGGTCGTAATACTGTAATTAGGTCTTAATGCCGTAACTAATCCGTAATGCCGTAATTCCGAAATTAAGTATGTAATTTCGGCCAGAATTATGCACTTAATTTTAGCAGAAATTAACAAATATCCTAAAAAGGAAGTGATGTTACACAAAATTCCAGTGTCGTTCTAACTAAAATCAATTTTGTGGAACGGCTATCGCCAAAAAAGGAAAGATATGCATTCCGTTTGGCTGAATTATGATTTTCGGCTGAAATTACATGTTTAAGTGAAATTACGTTAATTTCGGCCGGAATTATATTTCGGATTTCGGATTTCGGATTTCGGATTTTAGGAAATATGTGCCCGTGTAATTTCAATTTTAAGGGGTAAATAATATCAAAAAAATAATACCGTATAATCCTGAAATTAAGCACCCCCCGAAATTAAACACCCCACATTATATATATATACTAAAAATAAGCACTCCCAAAAAATTGAAGTTTTTTATTATTTAAACATTATAAATGTTATAATTACAAATCAATTAACTTTATTAACTTTATTAAATGATACAAAATTATTACTTTATCTATTCATTTATACCAATGTCCGAATCATCACAGCTTATGTCATCCTCCAAATTGTCATCACTAACATCGTGTTTAGAGCTCTGAATGGGTCAGGTCAGGTCGGGTTTTTGACTTGACCCGATCCAATATTTTTTTTTCGGGTCAGACTAAATGTAACCCAATGTAAATTTATGATTTATCCGACCTGATCCGTGGGTCAAATCAACCAGATTAATATATAAAATCAATTTAAATCGCAAATTGCAAATATCATATTTTTATAATTTATTATATCGTTATATTATTTATTATTATAATGTAATTACTAATTAATATTAAAAAAAGATTAAATTTTAATTATATTACCAAATACTAGCGCTAATATTAATTGCTAAACGGCCTAGAATACTTAATCCAATTTTTAAGCAACATACACGCTCAAATTGTTTCAATTCCTAAACTAGAACGCTTTTTTGTTATCAAATCGGACCCACCTGAAAAAATTCTTTCAACAGGTACACTGGTTCCTAAAATCGAAAATCATACTATTGTTAATAATATAATTAATTAAAAATTAAATAAATAATCTTAATTTACATTTTACCTGGTATCGCTAAATAATCTCGCGCCATAGCTGCAAGACACAGATAAGTAGCTTCGTGCGCCTAAAAAGAATATTTAGATAGTTAAATTATTTAAATTATGTATATATTATTCAGATAAAACTTTACAAATATACTTGCCTTCCACCATTGTAAAGGATTCATCTTAAAACTAACTACTGGTTTTCGAAGGTATTCATCCAATTCATCTTCTTCAGATGAATCATTACCAATTTCAAATAAGCTAAAAAAATTTTCCTGATCATTTTCTTGAACTTCTAAGTTGCTATTAATTAATAAAGGATCATTTTGGTAATGTTCATTGTATGTATCCTTGATAACTTTTATTGCAGCATCAATATACTCTTGCTCCCATTCCTGTTGAAGATAATACTTTAATTTAATTCGTGGATCCAGTACTAAAAAAAAAATTATAATAAGTTAATAAATGCATAAACATATTAATTATTAAACAATAAATAAAATAAAATAAAATATTCAATACTTGTAGCAATCGGGTAAACATGTGACTCGTCTGTTTTGGCATAATACGTTTTGAGCTTTTCATACCCTTTTGTTATAGCAGTTCTTATTTAGGAAATTGTACAATATTCTTTGTTTTTATTGTCAAGAAGCTTTTCTAAATGATCCAATAAAATATTGTAAACAGGAATTGATGAAGAAAGGGTAATATATTGTGCCTTTGACATTTCTACAGTAGCTTTATGAAAGATCTAAAATTATAAAATTATACTTAGAAATAATTTATTAATTAATTTAAAATTACATTGAAATCTAATAAACACTTTACCTCAAATACAAGACATAATTCTTTCATCTGATTCCACTCTTCTGTAGAAATAGAAAATTCTTCCAATTCACATTCAATCATTGTTGTATCATGGAGAGGCTATATAAAATTATTAACATATTTAGTTAATCATTTTTATAAATTATAATTTAAAATTTCAAGATTATACTTGCTTTTTGAAGTTCAAGAGCACATTTTAACATCATGTATGTCGAGTTCCATCTTGTTTTAACATCCAAAACGAGATTTAGATTTTTAACATCTTCATAAAGATCACATTGGGAAGAAAACATTGCACAACGTTGTGGAGAAACGCGTATTTTTACGATAAGTCTTCTCAGCTAAATATTTATTAGAAGTTAGAAATTTATAATTAATTATTCTGATTTTATTTTATATTATTATTATATTTACCTTAGGTATCATTTCATATGTATGAGTAGTACGGCTGTTGCAAAATTCTTCCAAGATCATGTCTTCATCCTGTGCTTCTTCAGCTTTAATTTGCTTTAATATTTCCTGTACTGTAAGATTCATGATATGTGCTATACATCTTATATGATTTCATTTATGGTGAAAATTGATTCGATTTTCAGTACATGTATGTTCAAATGACTTTAAAAAAGTATTGTTGTTTGCTGCATTATCAGCAGTGATACCAAGAATCTAATTATAAATAATTTAAAAGTTTTTATTTTACTTAATACATAAAATTTCAAACCAACTTATTAGTTACCTTCGTTAATATTTTTTTTTCTTGAAGACATGCTGCGAATGCCTTTGCCAAGTTTGCACCTGAATGAGGTCCTGAAAGATCAATGAAATCTACAAGAACATTCCTAAGATTCCAATCAACATCAATAAAGTGTCCAGTTATACCGAGGAATCCAATAATGTTAGGTGATGTCCATGCATCTATTGCAAAACTTATCTTTCCTGGAGTATTCTTTAATTAAAGATAAATTAGTAGTTTAATCAAATTAATTGTAATATCAATATCAATATATCACAATTGATATTTACTAACCTGTAGTAAATCTTGCATATTTGATTGATGGGTTTTATATAACTTTAAAATATCCGTTTTCACTGTATCTGCTGAAGGAATGAAAGCCATTGGATTGCAAGAATGTATTACATGATGAAATTCAGGAGATTCTACAACTGTGAACGGCTGATCATCAGCGGCAATCCATTCAGCAAGATTTTTACGAAAGATATCATTAGAAAATTTCTGTAAATGTATATAAATTAATTATTAATTATTACTTTAAAATAAAAAAAATTAATATAAATTATACTTCCTATTTGTTCATTTGACTGTATAAATTTTTTCATAAATTCAGCTTGCTTCGCAATAGAAGGATTGATTTTTTCTGGATGTACTTTATTAAGATGACAGTTTAAATTACCAGTTGATCCACCTTTACTCATATCATATTTACCACCTCTATTAAGTATTGTAACAATTATCTAATTTGTTCAATTACTAGTAAATATATATTGACTATTGTGTTAATTTTTACCCACAATATTGACATTTTGCCCATAAACCACCATTATTATCTCTAAATTTATCAAAGTGATTCCATACGAAGCTTCCTTTTCTATCATTTTCGTCTAAAGTACTTAAACCTGAATTTGAATTATCCGGTAGTCCGCCTTCTACTTGATTTTCTAATCCATCTTCTGATTCAACTTCTTCAAGATTTTCTTCCTCGGTAGGAGCAAATTCAGTTGTTTCTTCTTCTATATCTGCATTAATTTCACGATAACGACGCTTAGACATTTTGTAAAAGAATATTACATTTTGTAAAAGAATATTTTTAAGCGACGTGTGAAAAAAAAAAAATTAGATTGATATATATTAATAATCAAGTAAATCAACTTACTTATTTGGTTAGTTAATTTTTATTTATAGTATACAATAATCAAACGATCAGCAATTAATTGAATTTATTATTATATACTCTAACTCGGGTTATCCGGATCGGGTTAAAGGCTTGACCCGACCTGATATCAGATCAATATTTCACCTACCCGATCTGAATTTTTCGGGTTAACCCATCGGGTGACCCATTTTACCCGATCCGATTCGGAGCTCTAATCGTGTTCCAAATTATCATTAATACCATCCTCCAGATCATCATCACTAATATCAATAATTTCATTATCAAAATTCTCTACTTCGTCCAAAGCGTTTGAGATACCACAAGTTTTAAAAGAATCAATGATGATCTCATCAGAAATTCCATCCCAAGAACATTTCACCCATGCGTACACATCACTGAATTTGGCACGTCAAAGGTTACCTT